GCCTGAGCATGCTGAACGTCCCTGGATGCAAGGGGCTGATACTCTTGTGTCTTCTTTAAATGAAACTCATAGTGCCTTATTGGGTCTTAAATATGCATTTTCCCAGACTGACCCCAGCTGCCCTTGAAATAATACTGCTTTGCAATGGAGCCCTGCAGGGAATTATCATCTGAGCCCACTCCCTTTGTCATGAGAGTCAATTAAAAGCAGAGTAGCCAGTGATTTAATAGCTCTGGTGTCTGAGGGAGCCCCACATCCTTCCAGAGGCCGAGTCTGGTATTTAAACACATAATTGGAGAAGAGGAGCACTTTTTTCCAGCTAGCCAACATGTTTTCAAATTCATCTGTGTCCACACAGAGCACTTGTGTCCGTGGCTTGTCATCTTCTCCTGCACATTAATCAATGCCTCAGCACTGCACATTCTCCTTGCAATATATCCCACGTGGAATTGTTTTCCAGTTTCCCCATGCACCCTTTCCCTTGGGATAAACCAAACAGCTTTTAATCTCTGAAAATGGTCCAGGCTCACAAAATGCCATGCATGGAAATGCTGCTCCGTAAGCAGTGTTTGAGTTAAGCTTGCAAGAGCAGGAGAAACCCTTGCCTGCAGCTCCCCACAACAACTGGGAGTTTAAACGGGGCCCAATCCCTCTTGCTCCGGTGCAGAGCAGGATCCCTGTGCCCTCCAGACACAGGCAGCAGTGCTGGGGGCCCCAAGGTGGGAACAAGCAGCAGGCACTCCCAGTAGGAATGAATAGCCAAGGCTGAGCTCATTTATTCTTCCCTCCTCACAGTCTCTCTTTTCTTTCCATTTCACCACCTCCTTATTTAACATCCTGGGCTGTTGTGCAGAGCCATCACCCTGTTTTGCAGCACTGTGACCTACTTTGCTGCAACGTCCCGACTTCCTCGCTGAAATTGCGAGCTCTGAGCCCACCCAATCCATTCAGTGTTTCTCAGCTGAATAACAGATCCAATTAGGTGGAAAAAGGCTGGCTTTCATGCTGTCAGTGCCTGGACATCTCACTTCCAGCACACGCTGCACCACTGAGGCTGCGGCTCACAGACAGGGCCCTCTGTGTTTGTGTGTCCCCTGCCAAATGAATCTGGGAGAAGGGTTCAAGACTGATCCTGGCTACTCAACCTGTCCTTTCATTCTTCCTGTCAGTCTCGGAGGACTACAGAACTCAGGAATCAAGTAATTTGTGGGTTTTCAGTTCTGACTCTTCTGGGAAGCTCTCCTTTCCCAGCAGAGGCTGGGGAGCACAGTCCGTGACCAGGCCAGGATGGCACCATGTGCTTGTGAAGAAGCACTTACAGCCAGAATGTGATTTAATGACTGACAGAAAGACCTGTCTCTACTCCTGGTGTCATACCTATCCCCAGTCCTGTGAGTTTATCCCAAGCAAACATTTTAATTCTGCCCTTTACTGCTGCCATCACTCTTCTCCACCCCAGCAAAGCTCCTTCTCCCTACAGCCCCCGCAGGCAGCCAGTCCCCAGGATGCTGGCTCCACTCCATCATGGGGCATGGCTGGTTGTTAAAAGGGATGAGTAGAAACCAAACAAAGAGAAAAAAGCCTAAGGGCCACCAGGAAAAGCCCTTTTGGTTTCTATCTTCCCTGGTTAGGTGGGATGGACGGCCATCCCCTTGCCCTGAGGCCAGCCCAGCAGCACTGGGGCCGGCTCAGCTCCCTGGCAGGTGCAGGGAGGAGGGTAAACACCCTTCACTCCATTTCTGGGTCATGTCTGGAGGAATTACACACAAACAGGAGCTGCTTCCCCATGGCTGCTTCCCAGCACCCAGCGGAGCTCCCGCTGCCTCCGGCCCCTCTGCCCACGCTGCCGCCCTGCCGGGATCACGGCTGCTCCCGGCCTTCCCACAGGGTTTTGCTAATGACTCACCGCTCCTGCTCGGCTCTAATTAGGCTCCTGTCTAATTAGGCTCACTGGAAAGATGCGGCTGGTGAGAAGCAGCCCTTTGGTGAAAGGAGAGGGGAAAGAAAGAGCATCTGGAGATGCCGGAGGGAGAGACGCCAGGCTGTGGAGAGGGGTCAGGGGGGATTGGGAATTGTCAGCTGAGCTGCATCTGAAAGGGATGGACCATAAAGGGACTGGAAACAAGTGCCCTCTGTACTGGCAAACAGAGGAGCTCCAGAGTGCAGGAGAATGGGGCCGGGGAGCCCATCCTGAACCTGCACCCTTGGGCATCCTTGGAACAGAGGCAGAAGAGCAAAGCCTGGTTTGGGGGTGATTTAAGAGGTCTGAAGGCAGCTTTAGGGGAGACACAAAAGATACCCACTGTCTGCCCATCCCTGAGAGAGCTGGGGGTGCTCATATCACTTGCTAGTGTCAAATATTATTTTCTGCTTAATTTTTACATAGTTCAACCTCCTAAAAATCAAGACAATTACCATATTTAACATTCCTGTAGCAAATTAACAAGCCCCAGGTGCCTTCAATGGCAAAGGTAAGTCATTACTTTACCATTCACCTTGTATCTGATCACAAGGCATCTCACTCACTCACTGCACTAATTAGGGTTTTGCCTTTCCTTCTCTTAATAAACCCTCCATGAATGAGTGGCCTGTCTGCAAGCCCCAGCCCAGCTTGCACCTGTGTCCTCCCAGACCTCCAGTTTGTGTCCCTGAAGGCAGTGCCAGGACTGAACCCAGCACGGGCAGGGAACAGGAAATGCAGATAATGCAAATGTTTAAGGTATCACTAAACCGTATTTCCAAAGAGCCTCTCCTGTGCCTGTCAATGCTCCTTTTAGAGGCTCATCTCATTCTAAGGATTCTGTATGACCCCTTTTAGGCCAGTGTGCCAGTGAAAATCTGACCACATCCAACAAAGCCACAAAGATATTGTGCTCTAACTTTGGATGCCAAGGAAAGGCTGGGCAAGAAAGCTGGGATGCTCAGAAACCCATCACTCTTTCTTGGGACCATCTAAATTGACTGATCCCTGTGGTCTGGAGAGAATATCCATTTCATTGTCTTAGCTGTAATGGCTCAGAGCATGGAAATTTTGAACATATGAATTGTGGAAAGCTGGTTAAGGACAGTCAAATTAATTTATATATGAAGGTGTCCTGGAGCAGCAGGGCCCTTTGCTTCCTCCTCTGCCAAAGGCAATTTGTATTGCCTGCCCAGATTTCCCCCCAGCCAATGGAAACAGGGGGGTTTGGAGTGCACTGTGCAGGACCAGAGAAGCTCAGGGTGCCTGGTGTGCTCTGCAACCCAGCCTTTCCCTGGCAGGAGATTGATTCAGAAAGGATTTGATTTTCTCAATGTGGTTTGTGATCAGTAATTGTGCTATGTGCTCTCCCATCTCCCGTGACCAATGCCTGTTCCATCAGAGCAGCATCTCCCATTCCCAGCAGCTGTTGTTTTACTGCAGCAATGCAAAGGCTGGGGGTGCCCCAAGGGGTGCTTTTGTCAGTCATCCAGGCTGCAGAGCCAAGAGGGGCCACAGGAAAACATGCCTTTTAAAAACCATACCCAGCAGCCGACAGTTTGGGCGAAAGGCTTTTATTCAACTTCAGTAAATAGGTGAGCTGGGACGCCTGGGAATGCAAATAAAAGCAGGACTACTGAGCAGCCGTGGAGATAAAGGAACTCTTTCATCTCCTGTCTCACACCCAGGGGTTGCCTGTCTTGGAGCAAGTGCTGCGTGACAGGGTGTAGGTTCAGGTACACTGACCTGACTCAGGCTTTCAGAACAGCATGTGCAGTGAGAGGAGGGGAAAAATACCAGGCAGGGAGTGCACTGCTGCCTAACGGGGCTGGAGCTCCCTGCTGAGCAACAACACAACACCCCAAGCAGCTGACAGCCCAGAGCTTTGATCAATACTTGATACTTGGGGCTGTCTTGTGCTGGGTCAGGAGCTGGACTCGATGCTCTTTGTGTGTTCCTTCCAACTCAGGTAATTCTGAGTCTATGAATACATTTCTGATTCCACTCAAGCAATCCTTTCTCTTTCCCAATTGTACCTCTGAAGACAAGTGGAGTAACAAATGGAAATGAAGCAATTCCTCTGCCTCAAAACCAATACACAGGGGTGAAGGGTGCAGGTCTCCTGCTTTTCCTGCCTGGGGAGAGGATGCTGGAGTCCTGTGCAGGACAGGGTCAGCAGTGATCAATTCTATGATCCAGCAGAAAATGGTTGTGGGGAAACCCCAGCCACTGAGGTCCTCCATGACTTCTCATCCCCATGGCTCTGTACTCCTGGCACCCTCTCCTGCCTGGACTGATGCCTGCAGGCACTGGGAACACCATGTACCTTATCATGGAATCACAGAATAGTTTGGGTTGGAAGTGAACTTAAAGATCCTTTTTCCACCACCCCTGCCACAGGCAAGGAATTTTCCATTAGACCAGGTTGCTCCAAGCCATGTCTGACCTGGCCTTGAACACTTCCAGGGATAGGGCATTCACAGCTTCTCTAGGAAACCTGTTTCAGCGCCTCACCACCCTCACAAGGAAGATTTTTTTCCTTAGATCACCTCCCCAGGGGAGTCCTGGACGCTGGGTACAGCATTTCTGATGGGTCTCTTCTTGCAGGAGACGAGGGAACACCTAAGCCACACAACATTGTGGACCCTGTCCTGGGATGAGATGCAGCATCTCTGGTTCTCTAAGCCAAAAGAACCAAACCCCTCAGTGTCTGGGATTTGTCAAAGACACTGAGCTGTGTTAGGGCCTTACAGGAACTCTGTGCCACTTCCCCTTGTACAAGAATGAGAAGCCCTGTGTGTTGGGGGGGAAGAAAACCTAAGGAATATCACACAGCCATCTGTCCTTCAGTAAAATACAAATCTTGTAAGACGAGGAAAATAAGTTAAAAGAGTCCAGTGGGTTCAAACTGGAATGGGGAGGATAAAGGCAATGCAAACATTTGATTACAGGTTGAGGTTAGGGTTCTTCATGCAGCCTTGGTGCAAAAAAGTCATTGGCAAAAATACCAGAGGTGTGGGAATAAATCAGGCAGAAAACGCAGATTTAAAATCAAATTTATTTAGAGGAAGAAAAACTTTACAAGAGGTTGATACTGATAACTAAAAAGGAAGATAAATAAAAGCTTGTTATAAACCCTTATGGATCTGGCAAGTTACAGAAAAACTGAAGAATTGTACAGTCAATAACCTGCTCACTTTTTACATAATTACAAATTAACATACAGCAATTAGGTTTGATCCTCTTCTTTAAAAATCTTTTTTCCCAGCTTTTTTTCTTTATGGGTTCAGCATGAAAATGCAAAGCTTTTTTTTTTTTTTTTTTTATTTTAAGTAAGAAACAAACCAAAACCAGACGTATATCAGGTTATTATAATACACCTCAATGTTCTGGGAATTACTCAAGTGCATTCCATATTAGTACAAAATAAACATCAGGCTAAACTTTAACCATAGGCGAACTGAACCGGACACAGATTTTTATTTCTTTTTTTTTTCAGTCAGTGTTTAATATTGATAAAGAAAATAGTAGCATTATTTTAGAGCATGGAAAGGATGGATACCTATAGACAGCTTAAATACATACAAAGCTCACAGCTGTATGCAAAGCAGTGAGTGTTATCCTGTTCCCCCCTCCCCCCAGCAATGGAAGCTGAACTATATTTGGGCAAAGCATCAGTGTCAGTGAAATGCATGTGGGAGGAAAGGGCACAGAGCCCTGGAAATGCAGGTGTGAAAGGAGCTGGTGTTACACTTCTCATGACTGAAGAGCACAAGGTGTAGAAGATTTGGCCAGTTCAGCTCGCCTATATTTAAAAGTTAGCTGTATCACCAATGGAGAATTGTGGATTGCTGCCCCTTCTGACACATGAAGCAAGAGTTATGAGCAACAGGGGAGGTTTTTTATTTGAAAGGATGCCCTAAATCATGATAAATTCCCAAACCTGGCCAGCAGGCACAATATTTTCCAGAGTTCTGGTTAACAAGGAATGTTTTGTGGGATTTTAGCAGATACTCTCCTGTGTCTCCTGCCCAATCCTCCCTTGCTCCATGCCATAGACATCCTAGACAGCTTCCTTGAGATTTGGCACCTGAAGAATCTCTCCTGACTAGGTGGCATGTGGAAGGACTGGAACTGGGTGTTTCAGCAACAGCTGTGATGTCTCCTAGTGACTCCAGGAAGGTGCAAAGGTGATTGGACTCTCTGGATGCAAATCCACACAAGCTGATGGCATTACTGTGCTGCCACACCTCCAGAGGAAAGAGTCCACCCTCAGTGGGGATGACAGCTCCTGTCCTGGGGAGGGCACTGGGAGGTGAACAGTGGCCTGGACAGCAAACACCTTGGTGCAGGGAAAGGGCCTCATGTATTTGGATGCATCTCCTCACATCTCCTTCACTAAGTTTCTCCAAAGAAAAGGAAATTGAGGGAAAACCACTGGGGGGGCTGCTTCCCTACCTGCCACGAGGAAGGTGATGGTGAAGCTGACATGGGCTCTCCTGGGGGATGTACCTGAGCCAACAGAAGCCAGTTCTCTTGTCCTGCCACTTAACCTATCTGCAGTGGGACTGTAGATTAGACAGATTCACACCCACTTTGGTCTAAAAAGAAGACAAAAAGCTTGGCCCTTCCTCCCCTCCCGGGGAAAAGCCAAACCAAACCAAACCAGGAACACGCCTACTTGAAGCTCTGATTTTGCTGGGGATACAGAGGGGGGGAGCAATGGCAAAAACTGATTGTCTCCAAATAACCATAATTAAAAGGGGCAAGACCAGTTCCATTTAAAGTGCTTTATGGCATCAAACTGACATCAAGTTATGTGCTGAGATGATCACTTGATTTAAAAGAATCTAAGGCTGACCCCACACAGCCCCATCGAGTCTCCCACCCTTTGCTACAGCTACTCTCTGCTGCTGGGTATCCTTCTGTACCCATCTGAGCCCACACTCTCACTTTTCCTGAACACTGAAACGCCTCCTGTTGGGCAGTGGCAAAGACCAGGCCAAGAAAAGCCCAAGAAAATCAAATCTTATTTCTGCCCTCCAAGAAGCACCAGCACAAACAGCTCCAAGAGCCCTTGTAGGATCCTCTTCTCCTCCAGCAACACAGGCTTCAAACAGATGCTTTTGACCTACTCTGAGTCCCAGGAACTCCACGCACAACAGGGTGGTCTGGGTGCTCCAAATGGGATTGAGGGACTGGCTCTGGGAACTAGCAGCAGGCTGGGATGAAGAAATAAAATGCTTTCAACAACTGCAGGATGGATGCCAGGCATGGAACTGGAGCAAATGCAATTTTAAGACCAGGAAGAGGAAAGGTTTTGGTGCTGTCAAGCTGGGACAATACTCTAGCAGACAATGCTAGACAACCTTTAGGGATCAGAGCAGGACTCAGACTTTGGGAACCTATGCCAAGCCAAAGAAAACCTGTGATGGGAAAAATAAAAGGCTAAAGAGATAAAAACAAGCCCTTACCTTCCTAAAGGTGAAAGAAGGAGGAAGCAGTGTGGGAGGAGAGGCTCCATTCCAAAAAAGTGAATCATACAGTAACAGACATCCTTCAGGGACAAAGGTCTGTCCACCAGAATTTAAGACACAAACTGTTTGGTACACAGGATTTCTGGTCAGTGTATTTCTGACTCACACCTGTGGTTTCTGTCAAGGAACCACAGGGACCTTGGGAGATCACTAGGCAATAGTATTTGCACTTCAGGCACTGAATGCTCTTTTTGATTTGCACAGGTCAGGAGAGATGGTGAAGCCAGGCAGGCTCAATCCTGCTGCCCTGGGTCACTCACCTGCCTTTTGGTGCCCTTCTCAGAGCCATGGGACACTGCTGTGATGTGAATATAGCATGTGCTGGGACTGGGACAAAGACAGTGAGATAAAATAAAAAGTTCATAGTGGTGAAGGCTGTTCCAGACTGAGGGAACTCAGATGTACCAGTGCCCTGATCTCTGCTCACTCAACAGTACATGAGGCACACACTGCTTTGGTTTCCAGAAATTCCAGCTTGGCCCATTCGTGTTTGCAGATGTAAAAACAGCAGGGCAGAAGGTACTTTCTGAAGCTGGTGGTTTTCTTATGGAAAAGGTAACTCCACAGCACCAGCACGTGCCTCCTTCAGCTCCCCTCAGGTCCTGGAGAGCAAGTGGACCCTCACATCACTGCAAGGCACTCCATGCTTTGCTTCTTCCTTTGCCTCCAAAGGGAATGAGAAAACCTAACTAAAATGTTTAAACAATAAAACTAATTGACAGGAGGAGCCTTGTCTGAAGTCATTGTGTCTTTTTCCAGACTTTTTTTGGCCTGAAGATGCTCTGCCTTGAAGAAAGCTCTCAGCTGAAATCGTGTGACTTTAGGCATGGAATGAGCTGCAAAGCAGCACTGCCCAACCCCATGGTTTGTAGGAAACAGGGAGATGAGAACATTTGGTTTACCAATCTTTTGGTAAGAAAACAAAACAAATAAACAAACAAAAAAAATTAAAAGGGGGAAAGAGGAAAAAAACCCTCAAACTATTCCCCAAACAAAAGCAAAAGTAAAAAGAAATAAAAAAATAAAACGAAGTAAACTTTTTTAAAAAACTCTTTCAGATAAAATGAAAGATAAATATTTTTGCAAGCCCTGCTTGCAATTAAGAACAAGCACCAAATAATATTTAAAAAACCAAAAATAAATCTCAACCCTTTTCCTTTCTGTTTTTTTTTTTTTCTCTTTTTCTTTTGACTTTTAATAGTGTAGAGAGCTTCCAAACAAGCAGGGTTCCTGCACGAAGACAGCCCAGCCCAAGCATCCACCTCACCATCAATGCTGCTGATATTTATCAGCACTAACTCTGAAAATTGCTGTGGGTCACCAGCTCATGACAAGCCTGAGAGCAAACTGAAATAAAACAATAGTACAAGAAGAGAAATGATTTGTTATTTCAAAGAAAAAAAAACTGGTAGGAAAGGAAATGTACCCGACAGCTTCAAACTCTTGAGCAAAACCTTGACCTCTTTTGAAGCTGGTAACCATTTACAAATCCACTTGGGTAATTCTCCTGACAGGGTTTGGAAGAAAGGTGATTTTTGAGAAAAGTATGTCTTGTTGCATTTCTCCTCCCCCACTGAACACACGCCTGCATTCCACAACTGCACAGACACCCCACAGCTGGCACAGCAAGAGCTGCCCTTGGACCTTCCTGTTCTGCACAGACACTCCACCCCAGAGCCATGGGGACACACCATGCTGCCCTCCAGACCTGTCCCACAGGGGGGTTGTCCATCAGAACCTTTTTCTCCCCAGAAAAGGTTCCTAAGTGCCCGGTACTGCACAGCCATAGGGACAGGAGCCATCTCCTTGGAGCCTGCCCCATCTCACTGACCTGCCTGGACACTGCTACTCTCACTGTGCCTCAGAAACCAGCAGGGCAAGTGAGAAAATCCAGAGAAACAGAAGCCCAACAGGTCCACAAAAAACAGGCTAAAAAACCCACAAAGAACAGAACAAAGATCCCTAAAAGCAGATTTTTAGACAGTCCCCCCACTCAGTCATTAGGCTTGTACAGGGATGTCAAATGCAACTGGAGAGCTCTATTCTGGCAAAAACATAATCTTTACTTCAGGAATGGGAGGGAGTAAGCTGGAGCTCAAAGAGATTGTGTTAAAAAAATGTTGCTTACTGTTATTTCCATTTGAACAGTCTCTTCTGGCTCCCTGGGATTGCTTTACCAGCCTACCAAAATTCTTTTTCTGCATCATTTTAAATCTACCCAGTAATGTTCTGATTGACTCTAAAAACAGTCTGACATTTGATTCCTCTTCCCCACAGAAATTGTTTAGAATGATTTAAAATTTTAATTTTTATCCTCTGAGTTGTTGCTTCAGAATGCTGTTACTGCTTCCTGATGTAATGTACCCTTCTGAAACCAAACAGCCCCTATCCCATGAGCACAAAAGGGGTGTGCAGGTCACTGTGTTACAGTCGGAGCAGTAAGGGCAAGATATTTAATATCTACTCACTCCCTGAAAGTCCTCAGGTATCATCTATCCCCACGGATGGACCTTGGCTGTAGGGACTGTAAGCATACCCCAGTGGATACATAGATACATATATATATACATATACAGTATATCTATATATGCCAGTGTGTTCGCACCATTTGTAGAGTCCTAATCTTTTGCTAAATGCTTGGTTTTGGTTCTTTTCCCCAGGACAGGGGAATTTGAAGGCACAGACCCCTTAAGGCTATGTTCTCTCATCCTTTAGCAGTGAGAAGAGACAGACAACATCTACCCCAATCCATTTGACCCCAGGTTTGCACAGGGAGATGGTCCTGTGTGCTGTGCAGGCAAAGCCTCTGCAGGGAGAATTCACCTAAAACCACAGGAGAGAGATCCTTATCCACCACTTAGCAGACTTCAGAACTTTTTTTATTTAAAACCTCCAGATGCTCGTCCAGCGCAGGCACCAGCCATGTGCTGTGTCACAGGCAGGGAGATGTCCATGGTGCCAATGCCACGAGTGACCACTGGAACAGTCCATGCTCAGCAGAAGATCTCCTCACCCTCTGGAGGCGCTTCTGACGAGTGAGAATCTGTAGCACCAAAAAACAGCACGTGGGAATCACTATGGGAACACAGGGACACAGCAGGCAGAGCGGGGCTCTGTGTGCACAGAAACCCCCCTGTCTGCCAAATCCACCAGGCCCCTTAAAAGATGTTCAGTTCCCTGATGAGCTACCATGAAATTACACCTTGTAATGGGTGAGATTTCCTGTGCACAAGCTGGAAAAGATCAGTGGGCTAGCATGAATGGAACTGGTCATCCGAGGGCATGTGATCAAATTTCATGTGGGTCAGAGGTTTGAGGTGCAGCTGTGAGTCCTAAGGGGATGCAAAACTACCAGACCAAAAAAAAAAAAACCCTGTATGTTTTTGTTTCAGATCAAGAGACAAAACAGACCAGCTTGAGGGGAGAGGCCAACAGAAGGCTTGTGGGTATCACTTCCAAACTGCCACAGACCGAAAGCAGACATCAGTGCCTCAGGAGCTGCAAGAGCCAGGAGCATCCCAGCAGCAGCTCCTTCTGAAAGCACTGACACTGAAGCAGAGTATTTTCCTCCTTGAAGCAGAGAATCCAGCCCATGGAGGCTGCTCAGGATGGGATGGGAAGGGAAGAAACAATGAGAAGAATGTGTGTCCCTCTGACAACCCCAGGGGCTGCAGAACAGGCAGAAACACCCACAGAAGATCACTTCAAGCTGCCAAGTCCACTCAGCACAACTGCTCTTCCCCATCCTAGTGTCACAATCCTCATTTCAAGCCAGATTTTGTGGCTTCCACAAGTTTGCTGGCTGAAGGAAAACAGCCAGCTTACCAACCCTGAAAAAACACCTATGAGCTCTCCTGACACTCACCAGACTGCTGGGAGCGATGTCCCCTGCCCTTTTTCTTCTTTTCCTTCTTCTCCTTTGGTTTGGCTAAACTGAAGAGGCGAGTAGGCATCTGGGTCTGTTCCTCAGCTGCCTTGTTAGTCTGGTTTGTTGTGCTAAGCAAATGGAAAGTGCTTTTCTCTTTGTGTGTCCTTGAAAGACTGTTCCTTTTGGGGGAGACAGACAGTTCTGCATCAAAGTGCCCTTGTTTAGGAAGGGAAGGGTTCTTCTGCATGGAGGATTCCTCAGTGCTGGACTGGGAGGAGACTCTTGCAAGTTTCTCATGTAGATTTGAAACCTAGAAAGGAAAAGTGTTTCATTAAAGAGGCTAGCAGAGAACATGGATAGAAAAGGCATGTCCCAGACAACCACTCACACGGGTTCTTGTGAACATCTAGCCCATTCACCAGGTAAAATGTCATCCCCATTCAGGCAAAGTAAAGAGAGAAAAGCCCTCTCTGTTCAAGATGAAAATATGAGGCACAAAAAGAGTAACACTCGACTATCTTTTGCTCCTACATGTACTCTGCTATGTATCAACAAGCCAGGGGCAAATATTCTCTAAGATCTCAATAGCAAGACTCACCCTGCATCGTTTGTAGACACAGATGGTGGCAGCAGGCCAAGGAGCAGCGTGCCTCTCTGGGAAGGGAACGCCAGCACACGGCACAGGAGCACCATGTGTCAAAGGAAGCCTTCCCAAGCAAAAGATGAAAGCAAAAGCATTTTTCCTGATTTTTTTTTTCCTAACGGCTGTCTCAGGATGTAATTGAGCTTGCACATTCAAAGGGAAGATCAAAACAAGCCCAACAAATCTTGAATGAACACTCTATTAATAGCTCTGCAATGTCAGTCAGATACTTGCTTTGAGAAGGTGCTTCCTTCTCCTAAATCTCTCAGGCCTTGCAGGCATTTTACCTCTCAGCTTCCCCCTGTCTGAAAGTGCTTGGAGGTGGAACAGCTTCACTGGCTGCTTGGAAAACTTCTTGATCAGGAGCCAGGTGGGAAGGAGCAGAACCTCCTTTGGTGATGAGCTTTTCAGAGCTCACAGCTTAGATCCATGATTAGGCCGTTCAGGCATTGAAAATCATTCCCATTCTGCAATCCAACACTTATAAACTAACTGTGCTACAGCTCTAAGCAAATTACAGTCAGAATTAGTGAGTGCAAACAAACAAATGATCAACAGCCTTAAGGATTAAATTCAGTCCATGTTTTGCCAGTGGTGCTGGCTCTCCTCAGTCAGACTGCTGCACAGTTGTAAAGGAATAAACCTTAGCTTGCTGAAAAATGCCCAAACCAGGATCTGTGTGTTTTTATTTGTGGTTATGAGCAATCAGACACCAGAAGCCTCTTCCAGCAGAGCTGAGGACCCAGCACACAAACAGGGAAGTGGGCAGAGCTCTCTGGCCAGGCACCCCCAATACACCATGAAGCACCAATACTGGCACTGCCTCAGCAGCTCCAGAGGTACAAAAACTGCAAGCACTGCACATCGTATGCAAGGGAAGAGCCAGTTTTAAACAGCAGTGTCCACATATCTGGCAGCTGTGAGGAGCACGCAGTTCACCCAGGAGCTGGCTGGGAGCTCCCTGCAGGGATCAGCTTCCCTAGGAGCCTGACTGTCGACGTCATTTACCTGGTTGTGGTCAGGCTCCTGCCGCATTTGAGCGAATCTCTCCACGTCCTGCTTCAGCTGCACCTTCTCCCTCTCCAGCTGCTTCTGCGCTGTGCGGAGCCTCTCCAGGTCGAGCTGGTAGGCCGCCTTCTTCACCTGCAGCTCCTCCCGCTCGCGCTCCAGCTCCTGCCTCAGCCTCTGCACCTGCTCCTCGCGCCGCGCCAGCTCGGCCTCGTGCTCTGCCAGCTCCTTCTCCCGCACTTCCCACTCCTTCTCCCTCCTCCGCCTCTCCTCCTGGTGCTGTGTCTGCTGCTTCTTCAGGTTGGCCAGCTCCTGGCGCTGCTTCTCCAGGTTGCGCTGCTTCTCCTGCTCCAGCAGCGAGGCGGGCCGGAATGAGCCCCGGCTCGGAGCCCTCTCGCTCAGAGCCAGCTTCTGGTCCTCGATGTAGGTGTCCTGCTGCAGCACCACGCCCTGGCAGAGAGGAGACAGATCACTGCAGCATCCTCTCTGTGGGGAGAGCCCCATCCCTGAAATCCTCAGGGTGCTGTGCTGAACCCCTTCTGAGCCCAGCCCAGCTGTGCTGCCTGGTTACCAGAGCATGCTGGCAAAGCAGCTCCCCCAGCAGCTTCCCAAATTCAGGCCAGCACTGGTTCCCTTAGGCAGCAGCTCATTTCCACAGCCTGCAAGCCAGCCGTGGGGTGTCACAGGGGGAGACAAGGGGCAAAGCACGACTGGGAGCTCAGGCAAGCGGTGTGTGGGAGCAGGATGAAGGGCTAAGCCTACCTGCAAAGCAGTGAGCAGCTTATGGAGGCTGGTAATGGTTTGGAGGACCTGCTGCGAGAAAACAGAAGCGTTGCTGTTAGATCTCACTGGGTGCTGGGTATGTGGACAGCACCTTCTCTTGCTCTGTGTCTCACTAGTGGGTCTGACAAGCTGCACAGCCATCCCTCTGCACCCTGCTTTTCCTCACTCTTCCCTTGCAATGACTGCATCGGTCACCAGTACACCAACAGATCCCTTGAACATCTCCCAGAAGTGCCTGGCATCACCCTCCTCCCTTCCCTAGCTGTCACTGCAGCAGGGGAAGGAACATTTGCAGAGGCACCTCCTGGCACAGAGCTCATGGCAAGTCCTGGGCTGTCTCTGCAAACCATTTCCCACAGCATCAGCTTGCTCAAGAACAAACTGAGTAATTGAGATGAAGCCCAGAAGTTCACTTAAAAATTTCAGGAAAAAAATTTCAAGGGGTGAAAAAAACCCTGCAATCTTTAAATAGATGTGGACTATTTGTACCCTTCTCCCCCAGCTGACCCATACAAGACCCACTGCCAGCAGGCAGAAAAGCTGCACTACAGCAGGCAGCACAAGTGCAGAAGGTGTGTTCTTGGAGGCCTTCTGGAAATACAGAAATGAAAACACCTCATGCATCAATACAGAGCAAGTTACTTTGGAGTTATGCCCTATTCCTAAATTTAGTCTAGCTAAAAATTTCTCTGAATCTCTCATATCCTACAATTAATTTCAAGAAGAAAAAAGAGCACTTCAGTATTTGCAGTAGTGGAGTGATAGCCAGTATTAAGAGAACTGCTTCTCATTTTGTCATTAATGCTAATTGGGAGTTATGAATGTGTTTCAAAGGGAGAATAGAAATCTAATTGCCCCAATTCACTGCACCTGCAACATAAAATTAAACTCTCTCTGTCTGCAGATGCACGATAAATACAGCCCTGTGCATCCTGGTGGTAATTAACCCTTGCTGCTTATAATCAGCACATATCATCTTGCTGGCAAGCAGATGACAATCAGTGAATTCTCTGTCTAAACATCCAAGGTTAAACAAATAAATGACACAGTGGGTTCAGCTTAATGTATTTAGAAGTCTAGATATGCTTCAGCAAATTAAATGTGTTTTCTTCTACATTATCACCTATTGAGACAAATTCTCTAGCCACTTAAATGAAGAGAACAGCTGAGCAATGGAATAAATTCTTACCTCCTTATCCCTTTTCATCATGAACATCAAATTAGCATTTCCACCCTGTGACAAGATCACAAATTTAATATGAGGACAATGAAAAATCACAGCAAATGTCTTCTGAAGCTGAACTAATGACACATCCATTAAATACTCCCTCCACCTTCCATTTTGGGAGAATTCATGCATGTTTTTAGGCCATTTAGAATCATATAGAATAAAAAGTTAATTAGGTATTATTTTGCAGTTATGTGATGGATTGATCCCCAGAAAGAAAAGCTGCAAGGTTGTAGCTGACCTTAGCATTTCAATAACAATGCAAAATTAAACAAATGCTTTGTCTGATCTGCAGGCAGATGGTAGCTAACCTGTGCCATTAGGGTTTACAACTGATTTGCAGTGGTTTTCAAGTCAGTGGTTTTGGGTGCATATTTCACATTTTATTTTATTTTTAACTTATGAGGATGTATCTAATTGTTAAGAATTTTTCAGGCATTTTTTTAAGGCTAGAGCTGTCACTCCTGAAATCTGAATTCAGTGATGGCAGACACACAAATCAAGCCATACCTTCTTTAAAATGCTGTCTGACTCTGTTCTCCGAAGGTCCTGAGCATCATCGCCTTCATCTTTCGCTCCACCTAAAGGAAGAAGCCAGCATTGACATCAGTTATTCAACATTTTAAGGCAGAGATGAACTTGCTAAAGTCTGAGGAATTTAATACAGGAAACTCACATGTTCCACAAAAGCGGACACAGAGCTCTTGACATTTTAACTAAATGAATTTGAGCCCTAAATATATGGAACACGTCAGCACTACCAGGAAAAGTGGATGTGAATTTAGATTAGGGTTGACTTTGGTTTCAGAGAACGTGCTGATAAATTCAGCTATTAGCTGGTGCTCTGTCTAGCCCCTGCACTGCTGTCTACTACCACAGAATACTTGCTGAGAAGACATGAGGCAGCATAAGAGCAGATGGAGGATGATAACAGAATCATATCAGGGTATATTATTGCAGGTATAGTTTCAATGCCTCTCTTGTGCAAGTTAATTTACATCTGGGTCAGATACTGCTGCGCAACACCCTGTGTAATTCTACGCTAATAATTTATCATTAACCTTAGCTATCAGATGCCTGGATCTTCAAAGGGACACTGAGCTTCTCTTTCTAACTTCCCCCTGGATGGCTCATATCAGTGTTCCTGAGCAGGACTGAGCTGACCTGTGGGGACAGGAGGGCTCTGACCCTCCCCCTGTGCTGCCCTTCTGCTCAAAAGGAGTCACACAGACCTTCCATCCTCTAGCTCTTGCCAAGACTTTGTACTCCTGCTGCCAGCTGAGATGCAGCCCATGGGGAAAACCCACACCTGCAGTGGCAACTTTTCTTCTGCCACTCTTGAAGACTTTACATAAACCTGAATCTGCAGCAGCATGAAGGACACCACACCTGGTGTAAAGGCCCTCTCCTCCCCACACCCCCAAGGCTGGCTCTGCTGTTAGAGGCTGACCCTGAAGTCCTCCTAACAGACCTGCTCTCCTGCGCCACGTCCTGGGACCTTCCACCTCTCTGCAGGAGGAAACTCCTCCCTTCTGCTTTGCTGGAGGGGAGAATGAAGGGGTGTCAGGTTATAAGCCTTGCCCGAGGTTTCACAGGTTGTGAACAGAAGAACTGGAGAGAATGCCAGGTTTCATACCTCCTGGGCAGAACAAATAGGCCCTGCACTCTTTTCCCAAAATCTCCCAAGATCCTACAACTACTGAATTAGAATCAGAGGGCATTTCTACAGAAAACTTAGATTTCGGCATCAGCCCAAAGTTGTCCCATTCATCGTTGCAACAGAGAGAGGCACAGCCCTCAACAAACCCCTCCAATGTGAGCATATTTGTCATCATGATGACAAGGCCTTTGGGCTCTCCAGGAGAGCTGGGAAAGCCTCTACATAGTTCTCATGTCTGAGTGTCTGGAGCTAACACTGCTCCTTTAATGCAGGAGGTCAGACGAGGTCCAACGATGCCAGTGCTGAGACAGACACTAGCACAGCAAAACTGGTTGTATTGGGAGTGTGAGTAAGACCACAGAGAAAGGAATTTGAGGACAGGGAAGTTTCTGATGACTAGAGCAAAGAAAGAGGGCATTGGGAAGCAGCCAAGTATGCAGCTGAAATAAGTAGTCACGCACTTCTTTGGGAGAGACTTAATTGGAGGAATAATACATGCAGATGTAGGTGGAACATAAATGCATAGAGAGCAGAGACAGGGGAGAAGGTGTTTGATTCAGCAATATCCACATCCATTTGTAAATGCAACAGCATCAGGCTCCTGCTGGGAAGAAAAGTGAAGAACAAAGAACAGACCTGTAGATATTACAATAATAACATGAAGAAACCAATTTATTGAGAAGCCAAATGCTTTCATGTAGCACATAAGTAAAATAGCAAGTATTACTTAGAGAGAGCACAGAGAGGAGTGAAGAGTTCAGATGTTTAACCCTTGTATAGCCACAGGTTCTCAGCTACCATCAATCCACCTGTACATAAGCTTTTTTCCTAATCTGTGCTTTAATCTGTCACCTATTGTTGGAGAGGAGTTGTGAAACTCAAACCACCAGCTGAAGTCCTTCTGAAGCAAGAGGATACGATGACGTGCGTTATTAACAAATTCTGATGAGCACACACAGAACTACTCACCCTTGGAGGCATTCATCTGATGACTGTCAAATCCTCCAAAGGTTTCTGCCCTTCTAGGGAGTGAGATGGGGCCAACTCCTCCCTCCTGATCCATGGCAGCACTGCTGACCTGCTGTCCGAGGGCAGTGCCCAGGCTCCTGCTCACCAGGTGCTGCAGCCGTTCAACTGATAAAAAGCAGCAATATCTTTGTTAAAACCCACCTCAGGTTTCTGAGCTATTTTCATCCCTGCCTGAACTCAGGTCAGAAATTATTTGGTGTACAAAGAATCTAGGTTTCTGTGACAGTGACGTGAACAGTACACATTGCCCCTGCAAAAACTCACTCTGTCTGACCACTAAGTCCAACTCTTGGAGCTCTGCAAAAAGCTTACACATCCCTCTCTTCCTTCAGGCAACCTCAATGTTCTCAGACAACAGCATTTAATAACTTTAGCCTCTCCAAAGATCATACTGAAAAGTAGCCTGAGTTACCACCTACCCTTGCCTTTGCCAACAGAACTGCTTGTCCCTTGCAAGCACCAGAAGTGCCTGCTGGAACCCAAGCCCCACTCTCACATCTTGCTGAGACTGAAGAACAGCAGAAGCCTGGATGGTCCAAATTTCAGCCAAGGATAAATCCCATGCTGTTCCTGACCTCCAATCAGGTTCAATGCATGGTTTTCTTTGTGCTGACTTTCCTGCCCTCTTTCAACACCCCGTCAATACCTGCTTCCTTTCCTGATCCTCATGATCTGTCCCTGAGACAATACCATGAGGAGCAGTTTCTCCTTACCTTGTTATTCTGATAAAGAGAATAACATTCTGCAAAAGTGGTGCTTGAGAAATGATACCTTCACTGATAGTAACCAATTGTAGTTGGTTACTATAATTTACATGTCACATGACTGGTTCACCTTCAATTATTGCTGTTTTCATGATTTCCTCTCCTTTTGGAGCCTCTTCTGTGTTGGCTCTGAAGAGCAGCCTGGAGCTTGGCAACTCCTCCTGCACAGAACTGTCTGCCATGTCCTGGAAGATCTTGGTCTTCTCCTCCAGCAAGAGCAGAATCTGTTTATCCTTCTGCTGAAGTTGTTCTGTGGGGGTGAACAGAAAACAGGGATGAAGACAAAATAAAAGCTTTGGCAAGGAAACCTGAGCTATTCCTGAGATATTGGCCCCATCTAGTGGAGCACGACAATATGTGCTGGGCTTGGCAGCACCACAGTGCCCTGGGCAATCTGGCACAGCAGGCTCAGAAAATAAATAATGCAAGGAAGGCAACCTGCAAACCAGGACTGCAGTTATTTGGTGGATGCAGGACTGAAAAAAGTCACAATTTCACCACAAAATCCAACCCAGAAACTCCCGTACATTTTTCCACAGTGGCTCCCCAGCTCTGTTCCAGGCAGACTTTACCTTTCAGTTCTTTCACTTTCGCATCGGACAATTTCTTTTCAAACTCAGACTCGCAAGGGACTCCTTCATCTTCATCTCTATCCCTGGACAGGAGACACGGCTCAATTACTACAGGAACACACCCAGTGCACCCCCTGCCTCACAAGAACAGCTGAGTGTCTTACATGGTGTGCATGGTGTCCTGAATGATCTGTATCCAGCCGTTGCGCTCTTCCTTGGAGCTGGCATGGACCTCCACCATTTCAGGATCCTTTCCGCCCATGCTGATCAGGAACAAACCCTTCTCTTCATGAGCCACTTCTCGCACAATCAGCTTCTTCAGAGAGATCACAGTGGATTTCTGGTCCTTCAGATGGAAATAAATTGGTGAGAAGGGGGACCAGAGCTAGCCCCAGATTCAAACTAGCATTGAAAAGGTCTCAATAAACCACAGTGCTACATCTCTCAGGTTTGTAAACATTTTCTGAACATACTGCCTAATTAAAATAACAAAATCATTTTAATGGGGTCAAAAATAGGGTCAAAAAGAAGTTTGCTTTCCTCCAACAGTTATGTAGGAAAAGCAATTTTACCTCACTCCATTTCAAGAAAGAATTTATTTTAAATTGACTTTGTGGTTTTGTAAACTGTACCATATTTTGCTCTGATCTCTTTTCCTACTGACCACATTCTCCCTGTCATTAATAAGCTGCTCCTTACACTTGGTGCAGCTTGCTAGCCTGCTTCACACACAGTGTCTTCACCATCTCTCTCCAAGATAAAGTCTTGTTTCCAAATCCCAGAAAACCCCTGCTATTCTCAGACACTCACAGCTGACTGCTATGTGAGAAGTCGTGTCTGAGGTGATGTTCACTGTGTGCTATGGTCTCTGTGTCATCAGCCTGCTGGCTTACAATGTCCCCAGGCTGCTGTGTCATCTGCACACGAGTCAGCCCCTTTGTGCATTGTCCCACATGCTACAGCTGGGGTGATCTGGTTCACTAGCAGGACTTGTATGCAAATCAACTTCCCCAGTGTAGCCCGTGCACAGGGTTGGTGGAACTGGAATAACAAATTATCAGCTTTCAAAATGCTCAAATAGTGGAAAGGTCACAAGGTTTAGCCAGTCTAGACCGTGCCTGGAAGGTACAGCCCAGCAGACTCCACCAGGCACCAGGTTTTCTTTAGCAGGTCAATGTGCCCAGCCCTTTTTGGGGGCCTGCCCTCAAACCTCATGTTTTTGCTCCTACACATTACAAAGATATTTCTCTGACATTTATTTTCAAGCTGTTCTGTTGAATTTACCGCCCTGGCATTTCACCTCACTGCCCCCTGCAGCAGCTCACAGTATATTTGGACATTTCCTTCAGCTGAGGTTCATTTTTACAATGTTTGCATTATCCCCTCACCCCCTCCCAGCCCAGACACTGCTCCAGTGTGCACAAATTGCAAAGCACAAGTGTTTCCAGTGACAGGCAGGTTTTCAAGGCCAATTATCAGCTGTGCCAAGGCACTGCAGGAAGGGGAGGTGGGGCATGAAGACATGTTTTCCCATCAAAAAGAATGGAGTCTGCTCAGCAAACAAAAATGTTCTGAGCAAGAAAATTAAGTTGTTTAGCAGGCAATTGCTGGCTGTGCTGCACAACACAACATCACGGGTCTCTCCCATAGAAAAGTAAGGAGGAAAAAAGGCTGAAGCCTTACCAGTGAGGCGAAGACATACTTCTGGTCCTTCTCCTGAAGGAACACGAGCATGTCAGAGAGGAGAACAGCCTGGACTTCTGCAAAAGAAGAAGCACACCAGTGCAGTACAACCACACAACCCACCCCAGAAAACATCTGCAATAATACGAGCGCTGGGGAGCAGCAGGGCTGGTTTTGCAAATCCTGAAAGCAAGATCAACCTCCCAGTCAGCAGGAGGAGCAAGGGCAGTTCCTGGAGATGCCAGATCACGTTAGCTCTGAACCAGCTTTGCATTAAACAGGACACATCAGCACCTGGGCATCCTGCAGGATTTGCTCTCACCCATCAGAGCAGGGGTGCTCCTCTCCAGCCACATGCTCACCTACCAGTTAAGACATGGTGTAACAGTGAAAGCCAGAGGCATTTATTCAATAGAAGCTCTGTTTTCTCAAACAATCAATATTTCAGCCCTCAAGCAAAATATCTGCACAGGAAGTTTTGGATTTTATGGTTCTCTTGATGAGTGGTTTGCAGGGTGTAAATTATCGTGCAATAACAACATTTGTCAGCTGCAGTTTCTTTCCCAGGAAATACTGACTTCAGGAGCCACCAGTAATTCTGCTCTCAGACAAACACAACTCTGAGGGGAGCCTGTGTGAGACACAGGACCTGGCTTTCTTTCACAGGAGAAGGAAACACAACCTCAGGCCAACAGAGGATTTTAAATCAGTCTTTTCCCAGAGTACACATTGAGCCTTCCAAGTCTCCTAATAACATATCATAAAGTTGCACAGCAACTACCAAGTGTAACGCCCCACCCAGACCCCTCAGCACAAAGAGGTTTTGTGTAATGTACTTGGGAAATCTTGTGACAGAAAGGAAGCAAACCAGAAACTTAAATCATCCCATGGGTAAATCCTTCCAGTCTGTCTTGGGAAGACAGAATCCATTCCAGATAAAAGAACCACTAAACTTTAAACGAAGCTGCAAAATGAAATCCAGGCTCTGGCAGGTTTGCAGAAGGTGACATATGACTGCCTTTTTCTCTGCTCCATGCACTTTGCAAGAAGGGAAATGCTAAAATCCCTAAACAAAAGTTCTTCCTATAATTTTCGGTGCTACATTTCAAATACCACAAAATAATCTGAATATATGAACAATCTACTCTCTCCCTGGGTCTGCAGCCTGCCTGCAGGACCTACTTTCCCTGGGAGTTTGCACTATGGACATGTTTGTGCATTTCTATGACTGAGAAATGCAAATGGAGCCTGTGCTTATCATGATTTCACAACAGCAGCAGAACTTGCTTCATCCACCATCTAAAGATGGTAGCAGTCTCGGGTGCCTAGAAATCATCTGTAAACTTCCTGCTTCCAAAACCTCAAAATAAATCATACCCCATATGGAATTCCACGTTATCACCACCTCCCTGCACAGCACGGCATCAGGCTCCCAGGCCCCATTCATGCCCACAGACCATAACTTAATCAGCTAATGCTGCAGGGAGGAAGGGAAGCCCAGCCTTCCTGCCAAGCCTGAGGCACAGCTCTGTCTGCTCTTACTGCTACCGTGGTATCAGCTGAAAGTTTCCTTGGGAGATTTAGCTTTTAACTCACTGGAGAACTTCAGTGCACAGCACCTTAAAAAAACTACTTCCACCTGATAATGAAAAAAAAGCAACTCAAGAAAACACTGACCCAACAAGAGGCAGCTGCAGGGAGACTGGATCCTCTTCTGAACAGTTTGTGTCAACAGCTTAAGAGGTTCAAGAGCAACAAATACCTGGGACATCTCCCTGGATCCCAGTGCAACTGGGATGGTACTGCTGCAGACCTGCTACAGCCCTTGGAGGGAAGGAGAGGCCCAGAAAGTTGAGGCTGTGTTCTAGTTTAGCCAGCAGAACTCCTGGAACCATGGCACAGGCATGGAGATCTCACTCAATGCTCTGGGCAACTGCAGCCCCATTGTGTCCTCCTGGCCCAGAGCATCCCACAGCAACTCTGCCCCTTGGCTGACACACTGAGGTGTCACTGCCACCCGAGCCCACAGCAGGCACAGAGTCACCAGGAGGAAAAGCAGCTCTCTGTCACCCCAGAACACACACACAAGTAGTTGGAAATGCAATGGGGAGTGGGGGTTACAGCAGGGGAAAGCTATCAAAGTCACAATCTATCAAAGCAGAAGAATAAATGAAGGGTGAAGGCGCCAATCTGAGGAGTAATGCTACACCCAGAGAGGGTGAGCTGCATCCTTCCACATCAGAAGGCAGGAGAGTCTTACCTTTTAACCGGCCACCTGAGCTTTTTAGTGAAACAGGCCCATCGCGGATGAGTTTCCGACGACTCAAGTCCTCTCTTGCAAACATCTGGCCACTCTTCATCCTCATGATGGACTTGCTGTCTGTTCGGCTGTAAATCTCCTCAAGACGCTTTTTCTTTTCATAGTTGCTGACTTTGCTGTTGACTGCAGCAATCACATCTTTAACAAGGTTTAATGACTGAGTCAAGTCTTCATGTTCCACGTCGTTTTCTTTAAAAAAGAAACAGAAATATCTCGATTTGACTTTGCGCAGTCTAACTTCCCACTTTTACTTCCTTCCTTCCTCTTCTCCCAAGTTCCCACATTGTAACTTTTTAGTTCTTAAATGAGACATTTTTCCTCCTTAAAGAGAGTTTCACAAAACTTTTCACATATACATGGTTGAGGCTGGAGAATATTCTAATACACTTTGCATGTAAGACAGTAAAGATGAAACATACAAATCAACTACATATTTTAACCAATACCAAAAAAAACAAGCTGGGAGACTTTGGAGTCTAGGCATGTCGCTCCATAATTAGCTACAGACACACTTCTAAAAACTAAATCAAGGTACCTAAACAACTAATCTTAAAGAGAAGTGTGGAATTGAGTTATCTCTTTGCAGTGATGTGAGACAACAATGACTGGATTAGCTGGCAAGAAAATCTTCTTTGGCTGTAAAGGGTCAAAACTTCACACTAGACAAACAACTATGTGCATAGAATAGAGGAACTAGTCCCTACCTTTGGTGTACTGCAGTATCCTTTGTAAAAGGACCGGGTACTTTGTGATTCTCTGTGTTACCAACAAGATACATTCAGGAATCCCAAGACGCCTCACCAGGGAGCTGCTCATTTTTTTCTAAGGAACAAAGATGAAAATTTCAATACTGCAGCAAAACACTCCCCCAGAGTGCAGAAAGGAGATGTTTTTTCCATTGGCTACACCTGTCCTGCCAAGTCCTACCTTGACAAATGCCTGAAAGCGCTTCTCCTTTGAGCAAAGCTCTTTGAAGTAATTGACAGCCTCGTTGTGATGCCCGCAGAATTTGCCGTACGTTTTCTTCATCCGCTCAGCGTTCTCCCCAGAGAACTGCAAAGAAAGGGACACACAGCTCCAGACTGCACTGAACTCCTGGGGTGACATCCCAGCAGTGCCTGCCAGGCTCTCAGATGAACTTGATGAAATCAAATTAGCCCAAAGCATGCTCAACCATGCAAGCAGATCTCTAGAGAGTAAAGACTTGTGTTGGGGACTTCACTGAGCTCACACCTACAGCAAAATTTGCAGATCCACTCCCATGGCTTAAAATCCAACAACAAAAAGAGTCAAGACAAAAAGAAGACCGAAACTGTGGATAAAGAAAAGTAAAATGACACACTCTGAGTTAAACACCAGGTCAGTAATGCAGCCAAGAAACACAATGGGCATATTTTGCTGTGAATTCCTGCCTACACTCCAGTCTGTGGTCAAACTGTTTTGTGCCTGTCAGTGAACGCTTCTCTTTCCCACAAAATGAACTAAATTAATTTTCAACAGTAGACCTTCCTCTGAAAGAGCAAAAAGTGCTTCAAAAAGCAGAGGTGGAGATTTGTATGTGTGAAGAGTGAAGGTGCAATCAGCTGTGCTTATCTGACAGGCACAAACAGGAGGGAAGGAAAAGTATCTGGCTTCCAGCTGTGTTCTCAGAACTGCAAACATTTTCCAGCACTTACTTGATTCAGTAGGATGTCACCTATCCTCCTGATAACAAAGTTCTTTTCACTTTTGTCTGCTAGTGACTCCTTCTTCCTTTCCAGAATCCGCTGGAAAAATTGACTGTGGATGTGCAGCAAGTTTTCCAGGCAGGGAAAGATCTTGTCCACGACTTGCTGATCATACTGCAGTTCCTTTAACATGGCTGCACTGTACACATCATTCATGATCTTCAGGGTGCGGACATGGTGCATTTCTGTCTGCATTAGCTCTGCATAGGATGAGGACAAGAGTTCATGGGTTAAAGCACAAGGAAAAGCTGCCATTAGAGAGCTTTTCCATAATTGGCCTTCTCTAAGTGGTTTCAAAAAATTTCATATCAGGAATTGTAACATCAGTCAAGAGTTTCATGTGTGAGAGAAACAGGAGGGAAGAGGCGTCCCACACCAGAGAACTTTGGATGTTGCTGCTGGGGTCTTAACCTTCAGCCCTGGTATCTTCTCCTCCCTGACACCTCACTGCCAGCCTCCACACATCCCCCTTTTGCCAAACAGGATGGCTTCTGAATCCCTCAGGAAAAGACTTCGTAGTTAGCTACTCGTGGTGCAACCCAGTTTGAAAGTCATCAGCAGACAAAGGAGGAGAGGCAATTTCTGGGGATTTTGATGGCTTCTGGATATGTGAAATGCAGAAAGACAGCTTTCACAGAATACATTACGTTCCTAGGAACTTTAGGAATCAATGTTTGACTTTTGAGGAAACTAAAGCGATGTTCCTATCAAGGAGCTTTTTACAGTGAGTGAAAAGTGAAGATGTCTCACCATAAATCACATCCTGCCGTTTGACAACATCTTTGTATTGCTGCTGTAGGAACTTGCTGTCCACTGCTTGGCTCCAGGACTCTGCCTCCAGCTGCTTGGAATCTAATTCCAGGTCTCCCATGAGCTGTCCCTCGTTCATGTCTGCACCTTCACAAACCAATATAAGTGCCATTAAGATGTGGGTAATTTGTCTCATTTGAGATTCCCGTCTAATTATTTAGGTTTAGGCTCTGTCAGTCACACCACAGACATCACACACTTTCTCCTTTACTGACACAAATGATCACATACCACATAAAGCCTAGTTATGAAAAACACCTTTAAAGGTTATTTCCTAGTTTCCTGTTCACCATTTTCACATGGACCAAATTCTAGCTCAGATAATGTATTCCTAATCTACCATGAAACGACATTGCAGTTAAATAAAAAACCACAACAGAAGGGGAAATGTTTGTCCCTGAGCTAAATTCCAAGTAATTCAACTGTAACTGAAACCTTCTAAATGTTTTTCCATAATTCAATGAGCTAAAGAAATTACTATGTAGGGCTTTGTTTTATTTTATCCTACTAATATTCTGAGATTAAAATAAATGCACTTTAATTGTCCATTATAAAAGAAGACAATTGCTGAAAATGGATTTTCTATTTCTGGAAAGCAGCACTGAGACCTTCCTTCTCCTATAAATGCCATGGAGATCTCTTACCTTCATCAACCAGTGACTCCATGGATTCATTAACCCGGCTGATTTTATGTAAAGAGTCTGTTGACTGAGACAGGAATTTCCAAGTGTGTATTAAGCTGTCATCGTTCCCAACTCTGCAGAAAAACAGAACACACAATATTGTTTATGACAAAAACCCAGCCAAATGTACTTTCAGATAAGCAGAATAAATGCATTTAAAATATGAATTGAAAAACAAAGCCAGCACTGCACGATTACATACAGAAATGTGCCTTTATGTGTTGTTTACTAACTACCCACTGGAGCTTGAGAAGCTGTAAGTGCTACAGTTATGAGTGACGGTGCTTTCCATAAAGAATCACTCCTGAGGTTTCATAGTTTGGACAACTCCATTCCAGTCACGTCCCATCCTCATTGCCCTTGGAGCAAACAGTGCGAAAAAATGCCACACCAAAGGCTATACAAGAATCCTTATCACTAGCTCTGGGAAAGATCAGAAAATGGACTGAAATGAATAGCCAGGACATTCAAATTGTCCAGAATAACCCAGTCCTTGTGGCTGCCTCACATGTTGAACTGCTCAATATGAAAGTACAGTAGGAAGCATAAATTAGATTTTCTTCTATGTTTTTTTGTAATGAATTATGTATAATGCCATGTAAAAACAGGAAGACTGCAGATTTGTGCCTTCACCCTCTTGTTATGGACACAAAAGTTAATACTACATCTGAGCTGCCAATGTGTGTTTGCACAGCATCCAGCCCAAGGCAAGGGAATTTCTTCCTAGGAGCCCAGAGCATCCCTGGGAAGTGGCCTTGAATCTACCAGGCCAACTCAGCTGTGCCTCTGAACTCCTGCCATGACTAAACTAACTCACACAAGATTGTGCAGAAGACAACTGATATCTATACGATAACATCAGTTATCTATATGATAACTTATGTTATCATATAGAACATGGCTATTTCTTGTTTGTGATCCCTTTTGTACCTGTAACACAAGTCACAGCACGTGAACTTATTTCTAGTGAAACTGAAATTACGTCTTTGTGTCAGCAGTGTCGGATAACACACACACACACAGAGTCAGGTGTGCAGGGAGGAGCCTTACCCTGCAATGTTCTGTATGGAGACACTTTTGGAGAGGGCAGTGGGCTGCTGTGATCTCCTGTTGCTGAAGGTGGAGGTGACGGTGGTTTCGTCGGGCGTGAGGATCGCGGAGCGTGGGCGCTCCTTCGGCTGCGAGCCTGCAGTGGGAGGGTGGGGGAACAGTCAGCCCATGCAAACTCCTTAACCACTGTTCACTAGCGTGGGGACGACTTAAAAGGATCCAGACTCTGAAATGCACTGCCTTTCCTTTCCAGAATCACCCCCAGGGGGTGTCAGCAGTTAGGAACAGCCATAGGAAAGGCAGACCATTGGCCCCTGAGCAGAACTCAAGTGCACTCTGCTTGAAACACCCAGGTGGGACCTGCAAGTCCACAAACACACATGGGAAACTGAATTTAACTGTTCTGATAATTAACCTTATGTCACAATCCACCCTGTTGCCTTTTTATTTCCCTGGGCCCATAGTCATATAACCTTTGACCTTGATGTTTCTGGTCAAACTCTTTGAGATAGGTACCAGAGAGAAATTATAATCCTCATTTCATTATACCATCACATACCTTTAAATAATCTGTTCATATTAATTCCAGATTTTTCCTTCTTCAGATGCATTTCTGCTATGCGGACCAACCCCTCTGAACTTCATGATAAATACCACAGTGATTACAACTGTATTATATAGTGTGGTTCCATACAAACTATCATTTATCTTATCAAAGCTTATCACTTAAGCTTATCGAATCATGGCCCTACAAAACCAGTCTGGGCTATTTCACACCTATTCTTCATCCTTGGTCACACTGGGTCACTCTGCAATGCAGTGTGTATCTCAGCAAAGCCAGGAACAGTTTGTCAGTATTCCTCCTTCTCAAAATTAAACCTTCTATTTTGCCTACCTGAAAGCCCAAGACTATTTAAACCAAAAATAATTGTGTTTTAAATCCTCTCCACTTAACACTCATAGTTGGATTCTTTCCCATGTAAGACACCCATGGATATATGAAGCCTATATCCAGATTTTGTGCCCTTAACAGCTATAGGCCTTCTGCAAGCTACAACAGACAAGTGATTTTTCTAAATCTGAGATTATTTTATATTTCCTTAAAGCTACACAGACACTGCAGAAAGGGATGAACTCTAGACGACTTCTGTACAACTTCTGAAGTCTCAAATATTGCTTAGCATGCACAGAGGATGCTCTCATCCCTGCCTTGTTAAAAGCTTATTTTTCATAATATCAAGTATCAGTTGTCAGAACAGCTGAGAACATCAGACACAGACCACTCCCAAAGCAGACAGAAATAAATTGTCTTACTTTTGTTTCTCATGGTTACTGTGGGTAACGAAGAGGTATCATGTGCCTGCAGCATCCCTCTCTGTGGCTGAAAGAAAAATGAAATACGCTTTAATTTCTTCTTCCCTTCTCCCAAAAGGTTGTGCCATATAACTAAAACAAAAAAAAACTAATTTTTTTTCCTGAAACCTCTCAGTGTATGTGTATTTTTAAATATATTTTTTATTTTCTCTGAATGAAGTGGGCAAAATAACAGATGGAGAAATGTTCAGCAAATATGAAAATGTGAAAGTGATGACAATACTGAAGTGAACTGAAATCATAATTGCACAAACATTATTTAGCTTGGAGAAGCAGGTTCCTTGTATTTGGAGTAAGCATGAAATCTGTGAGTTCCTCATATAAACAGTATATTTAACAGTTTTCATTATGTGAAAGCTTCAGCACTGGGGCTGAAGTTCTTTACAACAAACTGGAAACTTTGTGACGTGGTAGAAAGTGCTTATATATATATTCAGTAGAGTAGATGAAATCCCTTACCTTCATTTTGACCTTTGCACAAGAAGCAAAATTCTCCTTACAGCCTTTGTGAACAATTGCATTACAGTCTGTCAAGAAAAGCCAAAAAACCAATGAATTAAACAAAACCCCACAGAAAACAGGTCATTTTTTGCTGTTGTAATCTGAACTGTTAACTAACACAACGGAGAATTATAACTTTCAGGCATCATTGTGGTTTACGTGACTAGCTACAAATACTGAGAAAGAGCCTGCTTTCCAGGAAAATTAGCCCTTTGTTAATAATATTTCCTCGGAGAATTTAACAGGAAATTCTGTAAAAAAATCCATGCAAGGTTGAATTGTCAGGGGTCTTAGATTAAAGAGAAAAAAAAGGAAAAAAAAAAAGCCCCGATGGCATTATCCCTCTGAAAGTAAGGTGGAAAGCAGAAGCAGGAGACAGAAAAAAGACAAATACTGTTCTCATCAAGACAAGGAATATGAGATCTAAAAGACAGGAAGAGGACAGGGGAATTCACTTACACAAACTCAGACATCATGGATAAGATCTAGAGCACAGACCCCAAGTGCTGCAGTACTGCAGGGTTCCCAGAAAAGGTAACAGGAGCAGCATCTCTCAGGAATCTTTGAGGCTGGGACTTCCTGCTAAAGCACCACATTCACCAGTGCAAAGACCATCATGCTTTAACACCACCCTTTGCCGCATATATGCCAGAGCAAAAGCTGGGTGGCTTGGTTTTTTGGCTTTTTTTGAATACCCTGGGTCTGCCCATGACTTCTGCCAGCAGATTTCTGGGAATCAAAGTTTTCAAAGATGATTAAAACTGCCTTTTTTTTTTTTCTCTAAGAACTGAGAAATGGGTTTCAGGCTTTAACTCTTTTGGCAGATGAAAGATCACAGCTCAAGATGACATTCAGCATTCAGTAGCTTAGAGAAAAATATTTCCACTTATTCATGACAACACTAACACAGATAATGAACTGGATTTTACAAGTAAGTGTGAAATTCTGAATTATTTCTTGAAGCAGAAAAAAAAAAAAAAGAAAAATTCTACTATGTCCAGAATGACAAAATATGCTCACACTTCTAGAATCATTTACATTTGGGATGACTCAATAAAAACCAGTAATTCTGCAATTTTGACAGAGATCAGGGCAAGGTCATAGGGTGCTGCTATTCTGACAATGTCTCAAAGTTTCCTGTGCAAGAGAAGACAGAACAAAGCAACAACAAAACTCTTGCAAAAACCCACAAAGAACTGAAAGCTTTCAGACCAAAGAAGGAAGAGGAACAAAACCTGCTCCTGTGGGGCATGAACAGAGGTAGGGAGACAATTCAGAATCATGAAATTCACACTCAAGCCTTGAAAGCCTGAACTCAGCTCTTTAGTGTGTACCATTTGGCAAAAAATTGCATTTTTTATGCTAAAAAACCTGGTTGCAGGGACTTTATTCCTCCAATTCAACTCTTTAGCAAGAAAGAAGTTCCTCTAACTCCTCCATGCCACGAGTATTAATAAATAAAACCCTCAAAACCTTGTTTTCTGCATCATTGATCATACAAAAAGTAAGAGAAGACAAGGCAGAGAGCTACTAAAAATAAGGCTCATTTGTTTCAGAGCATGCACAATCTTTCAGCATTGAGTAGATGTTTCAGCCAGCTGGGGGGCATCACTGAAAAGCCGAGACATTGATTTAAAATATCCAGTGCTTTGAAAGGCATTAAAAGTTATCCATAGGTGAGACAGATCAGTGGTGGTAGCACCAGTCTACATCAGCACAGGAATATCAGAGCCTCTGCTGCTGCTTATCCATCATTCCCAAAGCATCTGAGGCTGATTTTAAGATGCAGTGGGAGAAAGAACCACTCGCTGAGTGAGCTCTCAAAGTAGGCCTTCACCAAACATTTTTTTATGACATTCATTTCATGGCCAATGTAGAAAACATGCAACAATTTTGCATTGTACCTTGAAAACAAGGAAAGAACATCTGTGCTAAAACACATGACATTGTTGGGTTATTTTAACTCATTAACATACAGAGCATTAAATTGGGACATATTTGATTTTCTACGTGGCTTCAGAAGCTGTTCAGAAAATCAAGAAGGGAAAGGGAGAGGATGCATTTGAGAGCTTGTAATTGTTGATGTTTTACATTTCCCATCAGGCTGACACAGAGCGTGTCTCAGACAAACAACTCTGCTGAAATCTCTTCCAGGAAACTCAGAAGTGCCATTTGGGATTCAGCTGGCTGCTCCTTCCCCTGCTCACATCCACCAGCAGGAACGGAAGGCTCCAGCCTGGGAGCAGTTCCCGCAGTCGCTTTGACTCATTTTTAAGCTAGTGGAGTAAAAAATTGCTAATAGTGAGGAGAGGAAAGCTTTTTCTACTGAGCTATAGTGGAGAAAAAATGGGTTTTGTCTGCATGTTCTATAGGTTTTGGTTGCTGCATGAAGCAAGCAGCATTCTGGTCTTGACCACACAAACACCAGTGACCTTATCGAGCTATAGGCTGGAGAAACAGTCTGATGAGAAATGAGAACAAAGTCCCCAGTCTGTCAGAAACCCTCAGTGGGGTTCCCATCCTGCCTGCCCTGTGCTGCACGTCCTTCACACGCACACAGGTAGCTGTCATTTGACCTCTGATGCAATTTCTTGTTCAAAGGGAGCAGAGGGTCAGCATTTCCTTTCTGTACAATGTGGTTCTCGCTGTGGGCTCACCAAAGCACCAAAGCAGTATTTCAGAGAATTAAAGCAATACACCACAGACGGGTAGGACATTTTTCCCCCCCTGGAAACAGAAGCCATGATCCAAGCCAGCTGTCCCTGTCCTTTGTCCATCTTATCAAAACACCTCAGCTCCAAGCCACTACATGCAGCTGAAATAACCAAAGTTCTCCTGACTGATAGAGCCAAACAAGGGGTAGAAAAACCCCTGGCCTACTGTGAGAGCTGAGCTCAGGTTTAGAAAAGAGGTTTCAGGACACCTCCATGCAGCCACGACTCATTTCAGTCCAGTTTCCACAAGGCAACACACCGCTCCATGAATCACTATCTCCTAAGACTCCCTCCCACCTCACATGCTCAAGCCAAAGGAAAATAAAGTGTAAAATTTGCATTTTCCGTGCCAGATTCAATGAAAAATAAAATGAAGGGGGGGAACCCCCCTGACTTACTTGCACAGTAGTACGAATCCTTATTGAAAGGCTTCATACAGTGGTAACAGGTTGCTTGGGCTACAACGGAGGTTGCAGTGAAGAGATGTCCATTTAACAGCTTCTTATCTTTTTCCTTCTCCTTGGAATCTTTGTCCTTCTCTTTAGTCTTCTCTTTATCTTTCTCTTTTTCCTGTCGAGACAGAATGACCAAAAGCCTCGTCACTGGCAGAGATCTCTTCCCTAGTTACAGATTGCTCAGTGTTTGCCTTTGGCACGGCGAGGGTATCGATCGAGGTCCACCTGAACAATGGCCATGTGTCTGCCCAGCTCTGCCTCCAAAAAGCCCCTGTGGAAGTGGTTTTACACACTATTGACTCACACAGGTGTCTCACCACTGCAGATGGCACCGAGACTGTTCTGAAGACACTTATTTCCTTCTACCTTTGTTTTATACTTGCTTGGCTTAATGACTTTACCTCTTTTTTTCTTCTGGGCTCTCATCAGACTCTTCAGAACTTTAAATAAATTGTGTTAAATACAAATACCACATGCAGTGTGTATCAGACTTTCAACACAGCTCATTTTTAAGGCCAAACCATAATGCTCGTGATTTTCAACTGCATTTCTAAAGGAGAACACAAGCTCTTCCTTGGTGCCTCTACAGCCTTACTGCCAAAATATTTCCACCTCTGTTTTCCTTCCAACTAGCAACTTTTTCAACAGTTACATGCGACCCCAAGTAACCATGTGAAGCTTTTTGGCAAAATGGACATTTTACAAACTCTCTACCTACGGCACCAAACAAAGGCTGGGGAACAACAGCAACACCATAAAAGAGCCTCCCATCTTCCACAAGCCAGAATCAACCTCTAGGCTACTCATCTTTGGAAAGATGACAAGCACAAACAGCCTCTCCAACTTTCAGCAGAGTTTTTGCTTCTTTTCTATCTCTAACTTAGAAAGAAAATATTAAATACTAAAAATTTGAAACATTTTTCCCTGCAGCCTTTCATGGATTTGGAATTCTTCCAAACAAATTCTAAAGGAAACTCCACAGAAAAACTCTGAATTTGAATTACAATTCCTCATTTTTCCATGTACCAACCTACAAAATGTTTATGATACGAATCAACTGCAGGTCTGTACTTTTAACTGTTGCTGCAGATTTCCTGGCATCTGAAGGAGAAGTTTTACCAGAAACTGTTTAAGGCTTCTGTCAGCTTATCTTTGCATTTTGTTATTTATATGCCACGTGCCCTTTGCCTAATACTGTCCCAGCCTGAATATCAGGGAGCTGCAGAGCTGCCCACATGAGCAACTGCCATGAAGGGGCTTAGAGAGGGATGGAGCTCTGCAGCCACTGCAGGGAAACTGCTGAGCCCTGGCTGACACACTCACATCATGAGGAACTCAGCCTAAGGACTCCTCTCCCAACACATCCCAGGCAAAATGCCAGTGCCGGAGTCTCTCCCTGCAAAGTGTCAAACACAAAGTCTATTTACTGGCCCCAAACGCTCTTTTGTTCTGCAAATAAGCAAAACTAGGAGTATTACCATATGGAATAATCCTGTCTGAAGCAGAAAAGCTGCCAGAAAAGAGTCTGCATTGCATCACATCTCCGCCTCCTCTGAACCATCAGCTTGGCTCACACCACCCCACAGGAACCTCCACAGCCCCATTTTCCACCCACTGACCTGCCCATCTTTAACCATATCCAGCCTGGCAGGATTCAGGAACTAAAACTCTGCAGTTCAGGTCTGGGCTGATGGTACCAAGTTGATGCCTAGAGTTTTGCTCTACTTTCAAGCCTTGTGAAACTCCAGGAGAAAACATCACTCTAAGCTCAAGCCAAATCTTGTGGCTCTCATGCTGAAAGGAGATTTCCCATCCTATACCTTAAGCCTATCTGAAGTTCACTGCAAAACCCAGCAATTCTGAAGTCTAATTTTTAATTTCAATTAAAGCTGAACGGCCCCAGGAAAAACAGGAACGGTGCACCACTTTCAAGAAGGAAGTCACAAACTCCCATAAGGGCTGCCACTGCCAGCCACTCCACTTAAGGACAAGGTCTCACAATGAGATTTTTTTCAGCTTTTTCTTTTTTCCTGTGGCAGTTACTGAAACTTTATTTAAAGAAGGACTGTAGAAACAAGACTATATTTGTGCTGTTGCAGCTGCCAGTGAGATTCGGCGCCCAGCTTCGTGGCTGAAGCGACGTGCCAGAGCAGCCACCACGACAGGTACGCCGGCACCGCAGCCACGCCGCGGCAGCGGATCCCACTCCCCAGGAACCACCCAGCTCTTACCTCCCAGTGCTTCAGTCCCACCAGCTTCACTGTTATCTGAGGTACTTCTGAGAATCTATTCCATTTTATGGACATCCTTCCCCTGGGCAGGAGAGCTGCTCCCCACCAGGAGCTGCTCCCCACTAGCCCATGGCGATGCCGGAGCCGCAGCACGGCCGGGGACAGGAGGCACAGCACGGAGGAGCTGAGCACAGTGGAGAGGTGCCCCTCCCCGCTTTGCTCAACTCCTCCGTGCTGTGCCTCCTGTTGGACAATTGCTGACTTCCTTAAAGATTTTAGCTACTTTGCTATTGCTTTCATCTTGCCCTACCGTAGCTTCCACTGCTGAAAAAAAAAAAAAGCTAAAAACCAAACCCATACAGGCAGAAAAGGATGTGATTAATATTTTACAAGTCAATATTAAGACTACCTTTTTTAAAGGTGGAGGGGAGTAAATCAAACACTCTGTGATATTTGGGCTACAGAAAAAGTGAATTTTCACATACCTCAGTGTTGCTATGTAGTGCTTCAGCAAACAAAGTGCTGCAGAAGTTGCCCAGACAGAGAAGTTTTGTGTGTTTGAGCTCCTCCTGCTCTGCAGGTCACGTATATTCCCTGCCTCCTAATCCTTTCAAACACTTGCACCTCCTACCATACACCCTGAAATGCTGCTGCTGGCACATCACTGACTTATTACTGTGCAAGGCAACGAAAAAGAGAAATTATTCATGCTAATTGTTGTAATTTCTCAGAAAGTCTTGACCAAAACGGAAAAAAAAAAAAAAGAAAAAAAAAAAAAGAGTTTTTTTTTTTTCCTGGAAAAACAAAGATAGAGCATGTTTAAGACTTTGCAAACGTGAATCAGGGCACTCTGCTAATAGCAAGAGATTCACCGATAATCCCAAACAACATGCCAGGCAAGGGTAAATTCACACCAACTTCTATCAGTATCCCCTCCAGTTACTGCTCTATACACCCCTTTATTTTAAAGGTTTTTTCACATAACTCTCTACATTTTCAAAAGGCTCAGATGTGCTTTATTTTACTTTATTTCATCCAAGAAAACTGCATTTCTAAAGATCTGTACATGACTAAAAATGAGCTGGAAAGACACTGAAGCCTCCCCTCCCTCCTGACAGCCCAGCAACCAACTTGTTGGTGTCAAACTTCCTCTTTCAAGGCTTGTTGTTTTTGTTAGTTCTGTTTTTAACTATAACAGGTTTTTCTCATTTATAATACTTCTGAGAAATCAGTGTTCCAACGAATTTTTTGGTCAAATTATTTAAATGTACCGGTGGAGCCTTAAAAATGTAAATAATGCAAACATTCTACCATGAGCAGACAAGACATTGTAACTTCAATGATATTTGGGCTTTTATTTAGTATAAGCATGAGCTGCAAATTCTGTCAGGCAAAGACTTAAACACAGAACTCCTCTCTGCTGCTTATGGGCATTCCACAAATCACAAGAAGCACTTACTTTGCTCTTCTTGCTGCTGGACATTTTATTCCTGAGGTAGCTGAAGGTGCGGCTGACTTTTGTTACACCTTTACCAGCAGAGACACTGCTGCTCTCTTCAGAGATGCTAAAATTAAAAGAAATATATATATAAAAGTTGCTTTCATTTTTTTTTCTCATTCCCAAAGCATCTATTAAATGGATAGATTATTTTTAAAGGACAAATGCATTTATTAGCCAACACAGTCTAGGTGCTTTATGGTGTTTTACCAGAGAAGGAAAAGTGAAGACAAATTGCCAATCCACTCATTTTCAGATAAATTTCAAGGAATCCTCATATCTGTTTTGAAGCAAGCCATGCCATAGCACCCTCTGCTGCTCCCCTTGTCAAATAACCAGGAATCATTAATGCTGTAAAGAACCATTTCCTTCCAGAGAAAGGTATCTAATGAACTCTGAAAAGGCAGTGAATGCCTTTAAGAGAAACCACACTGTCTGCAAAGCCACCCCTGAGAAATGAGAATACCAATATTAAGTAATAAACCACAATGGTTATGTATATTAATTTAGGAATTTTTAGGATCCCATATAATTTTTGCCAGCCTTTGCATGCACAAGCTTATGACTTCAGCTCTGATAAAAGAATAAGGAAACTCTTATTGCATTAAAGGACACAGTCTGTCAATATTAAGTACAACACAAACCAAAAGCAGAACACAAATACTAATTAAACCAAGGAGGAGAGGACAGCAGAGAGCAGAGGTAAAGAGCCTCCCAGTCACAAAATAAAGCCAAAGCTGTTAGTGACACAGAGACCAGACACCAGTCCTTCCTCCAGGGAAGCACCTTGAAAGCCACCAGGAAGATTATCTCCTCTGTGCAACTTGTAAGGATGGAAAGTAACTTACAAAAACAAGATCATTTTGGCCTTCGTTATAGAGAGATAGAGAGAATTAGCTACAGGCAGAAAGAACTACTTTTAGTGTAACATAAAACGTAGGGTAAACCAATACCCTGCAGTAATGCAAGGTATTAGCTACGAATAAACAGAGCCTTGTAAAGAGCTGAAACTTAGACTTTCATATTCTGTTTTTATTTTATTTTATTTTATTTTATTTTATTTTATTTTATTTTATTTTATTTTATTTTATTTTATTTTATTTTAATTCATTTCTATTCTGATCTAAAACATTCTTCAGCCTTTAGAGACACAGGACTGATTTTCACAGCTTCTGATTTCAGCTGAAGTGCCCTGGTGTCAGGAAGGCTTTGGGGTGCCCAGGGCAGAGTCCAGTGCAGGAGCCCCCCAGCAGAGGCAGGGTATCCCCAGGATACTGCAACACTGCACTGTATATACTGCAATACTCTACTGTATGTACTGCAATACTCTACGGTATGTACTGCAATACTCTACTGTATATACTGCAACACTGTACTGTATATACTGCAGTACTGCACTGTATATACTGCAATACTGCACTGTATATATTGCAGTACTGTACTGTATATACTGCAGTACTGTACTGTATGTACTGCAATACTGCACTGTACATACCACAATACTCTACTGTATATACTGCAATACTGCACTGCATATACTGCAATACTGTACCTCTGCACTGAGGAGCCCATGGAGCCGCCGAAGGACTGCGCACCTGCAAAAGATGGGAGGGGCAGAGGGGACAGGTTAGACTGCAAGCTTAGCCCACTGATTCCAAAAACCATGGTTTGCACATTGGGATGGTTCAAGAGGAAAGGGAAATGTTTTCTGGAAGTGGGTGTTTAGAACAGATTTCATGTGCTCAGGATAAAGCTAGTTCCCTGTATCCTTAGCTGCTCTCAAATTAGATGCTGAGGTGAAAGCCTGTTTAGTATTTTTATCACTCTTCAGCTATTAAGTAAAGACCATGCAACTGTTAAACTTGCTGGTAAATCAGGGTGGCTGAATCAGAACTGCCAATTCAATGACAATAGGTATAAATGAGAATCATTCTGACACAATGCTTTTATTTATACTCCACTAGAAAGGATCTATTGTACAGCACATCCGGGTTTCATGTATAAAACTTTTCTCCTTGATAAAACTGTAGTTCATTTTCCCATCAAAATCCTGAGGCACTTAATAAAGAGTAAGGGAAACAAGGGAAGCCTTATTCTGCCTTCCACAGAACGTTACCAGCCTGGGGCTTCGTCACGAAACACTGCTTGAGGAAAGGCTGAATTTCAACACGAAGCTGAAGCCCTGCCAGTGGCACCAACTCTCTATACCCAAGAAACCTGCTTGCACAATGCATTTGGAGCAGATCTGGGAGCTGACACCATTTACCAGAACCACTGAAAAACACTGAAAAATCAGGATCAAATGATCCAGGACAGAGGGCTCCCTCTGAAGTAACTGGGCTTGCAACTCAAAAAACCTTCATACAAGCAATGTTTGCAGCCCTAGCTGAAGTTCAAGAAGCAGCATGACTGTCACCTTACTAGGCTTCTGCATACATACTGCAAGAAAAACAGTATTTTGTCTCCAATTCCTTAATACTAAGGAGAATGAAAAAGAGCTACTTGCTATTAGAGGCCAAGATGGCCCTTTATCCAAAAGCAGTAAGAGCATTAGGAAAAACTGTGCATGCAATACTAGGCTTTAAATACAGATTTTCTAACCACTAATTCAAGTGCCAACAGAGTCTGAGACAGAAATATAATTTCTTCATATTGAGAAACTAAAATGCAGGCATACCCTGTTACCTAAACCCTGCTTGGAGAGCTATGTTAATATTTCCCTTGCAAAATCTTTCACCTCATTAATGATTTATCCCAAATACACCAAAGTTAGTAATAGTGTAATATGTATGAAATGAAGTCTACTATTCACCTTCCAATAGTGATATTATATTTTTATAATATAAAACTATAATATAAAACCTAAGTGCCTACTAGGATCACATAAGAAATTTACAGACTCCCAAATCCTCGGTTAAAGCTCCAGCAACTCTGGTTCCCATTTCACTTCTAGCTTACTTTTAATCTGGGTTAGACCTCCTTAGTCTTTACTCTTTTTTTTTTTAGAAGATTCATCAGTTTGACTGCATTTAAATATTTCCCAAATCTTTTTGTTTCTTTGCAGTTAACATCAGAAATGTGAATGAACACTGAACTAAGAGCTGCAATAATTTGATATTTGTGACTGCTTTTCACTACCTTGAGAAAATACACTGCATGAGAACTACAGTTATGTATCATTTATCTTTTACTTCAATGGTTGTTTCATCTTAAAAATGGGGGATTCTTGGTGCTGGCAGGCAAAATGGATCCAGTGAAGAATTAAGGTCTGTTTATGATTTCATTTTTTAGATTATAATATAACATCACATGATCAACACTGCTGCAAGCTGTAAACCCCAGGAAGATAAGCATAGAAAAAGACACATCTTCTCACCTTCTGGTTTGTTTCTGAAGTAGAACAGGGGAAGGAAAGCTTATTTTCATAATGTTTTTGTTCCCTGTCATGACCAGGAACAAAACTGAAATCTGGCTTCAGAACCCCCCAAAAATTAAGTTTTTCTTTCAAAAGCCAGAACTCCTGTCTATGTCCAATGAATTTAGGCTAGCAGCCAAAATTTGCTGTATTTATCTGAATATCAAGTATTGGATGCTTAAAAGAAAAAAAATTAAAAATAATTAATAATAAAATAACTCAAATGCTTAAAGAACAAGACTCACCAAACAAACAAACAAGCTCCACCAAAAAGTTTACCTAAGGATATTTTTTACTGTGGGACATCACATGAATGCAGAGTCTTTGCAGTTCACCTCGTGGGGACCATGAACTGTCAGTTTTGTTAAAAGCAGAAGAAGAAGACAGAGAAACAAGGAAGGAGCTTAAATATGGAAGTGGTAATATCACACCTGAGCACAGGACTTTGCTGAAGGAAAGGACAAACCCACAGTGAAGACCAGGAATGGAAAGGAGGAGAATTTAGATATATAAAATGTGGATGGTGTGGAGATTGTTTTAAATTCAGGAAGCAATCAAAATCTATTTGACTGGAAAGCAATTTCCCCTATCCCAGTAAGAACACAAGGAATGTGTCTGGCTTTATTTCAACAGTCTAATAAAATATGCTTAAGAAATAGGAAGCATTTTGAATAATCTTTGGTAAGGCAATTTTAAAAATCAAGAGGAGCATAAATTACTTTAATTCAATCTCAGATGGGCTGCTTTTAGCAATGGAGTTTGCAGGAGAAAAAAAAAGCTGTCAGAGGACTCTCACCTGTTTCCCAGAGAACTATTTTGATAACAATATCAGGACCTAGATATGAACACCTTGATGATTTAAGGTCTTTAGACTACTTGTTTGTGCTTTTTGCATAGTGAGGGAACTGTGAAGATGCTGTGAAGATTTTCAGAATTCAATAAACAGGGTTTCTGTCCACTTCTCTTTCACTGAGCAATGCACTCACTGTCACCTATGGAGAGCAAGGATGCACCTCTTCTGCTAACTCCATGCCCTGCAACAAGCTCAAGGCAAATATTTTGATTTTAGTAAAAAGGTGAAGATTATTTTGCTGCTCAGAGTGGCAGATGATGATATCTGCCACATGGATAGAGAGTAAAACTAACCAGATAAGATGTGATGGTGCTGATGTAGAAGATTCTTTGGATAATTATCATTTCAATACTGCTATTAGTTAGTATTCAGATCCAGGACTAAGATAACGCTGTTAGACATCATGCAATGGAAAGGGTAGTTCAATGTTTGCAAGGTGAAATTCCAGTGTCTGAAGCAGAAAACCAGATTTCCTTGTGTTTCCACCCATTACTGCTGCATTGCACAGAAAATGATTACTTACTATCCAACTCCTCCTCATCATCACTGGAAGAAGAGCCAATAGAAAAGAGAGTTTTAGACTTAGGAATGAGTGGAGAGATGCTGAAGGAGAAGGAGATTCGTCTCGGTGGTCGAGTCCGGCCCTGGGCTGAGAAGTGGGTTAACAGCAGACATTAGAGCATGCTTGAAAATGCATTTAATAATAAAAAGGAGAGGAAAGCAGCCAAAGCAAACTAAAGCAAAGCAAAGGAAAAGTCTGCAAAGTAGCTGGCTCCAGAAAGGCACAAGAAACAAAGAACTGAGAATGTGCAAATTCCAGAGGGTGCAGGTTTCAGAGGGCACAGGTCTCACTGCATGCACAGCTCGAGGCTCCAGACTTTCTTTATTTTTGCTGACTTTTTTTATAGGACCTCTTAGTGAAGAACTATAGGCAGGTATCTTTCCAAACAGAACACCAACAATAAAATGGATCTCTGGACAAAGGGCATCAGCTTCAGGGAAAGAACTGTCATGGAATCAAACTAGAACAACTCAAGATATCTGTTTGAAGGTGCTTTCTGCAGTTAAATGACACAGCAAAGCTACCAAATACTAGCAAGGACAATTTATATGAAGTGTTGACATTATCTACTTGGGGGGGTTCTTGCCACTTCTATGTCTAAAAAAAAATCAACAATGTTGATAATGTTATACCCTTAAAAATTTCCAGCATTAAAATGGAAACACTTAAACTTCCCAACTTCCCTTCTCTTCTTCCAAAATTAAACAAAAAAAAACCCCAAGCATTTCTTTTGCTTCTTCTAAAATGTAAAAGTCCTTATTTTAAAGAAACTGCCTAAACCTTCTTTTGCCCTTGCCTGGAAGATGCCTACCAAACATAGTGCCAAACTCAGCAATTAGTCTGCTAATATGGGATATCAAATATCCCATCATTTATTTTTAAGAACAACCCTTGCATAGCAGCAGCTTCCCAACAATTCTTTGTAAGTATATGGTCTCTGAAAAGAGAATTAGGAGGCAGCTAGCCATTCTTCACTGAAACTGGATTCCCAAAGGCCCTATTTCCCAAACCTTCTCTTCACACAAGCACAGGTGGAAACCTCTGAGCTGTGAGCTGGTTGCTGGACACCCACTGCTCACATGGTACATCTGTGTGTCCTCAGGAAAGGTGACTGGGACAGGGCTGAGGAACCCTCCCCTACTTAAGCACCTACATTAAAACATCTTCAGCACAGGTATTCAGGTACTTTTAAGTCATTCCATGGATACATCAATTCACTTGCAGAACAGGGAGAACAGGCTAAAGACTTTATCAGTACTAATCTTCCAAGAGAAAGACAAAGCAATTATTCCTCTCTTTGAATAAAATACGTCCTGTCAGCCACGTACAATGAGGGTTTTTTGCATGGCTGGTATCATACATTAAAACTGAATCCAGAATATAAAAACACTGTCCAAGGAATAGCCAATGCTACAAAAGCAATGCAGAACAAATGCCCCATAACACTTCCTCCAACCATTAGTCACAAGTGCCAATTGTCTACAAGCAATTTGACTAAAATTTGCACAGTAAAGGCATTTAAATTGAAGAATTCTTGGAAGACCCATGCATTAGTTTTGTTTAGACTGCCTTTTGAAGGAGTTGTTCTAGTGTTCCAGGCCTGAAGAATACAATTAGGCAACATGACTTTTTCTTCTGTAGTCTACTGTCTATTTAGACTAAAAGTCAAGATGAACAATAATACTTTACTGTAAATTGAACCACCTTCGCCAGCACAGTTCAACTTCCATTTCAGTGGTTTTATTTATAGCAATTCCTGGCTTTATAACAGTGCTCCACACTGGAAATTTGCTATTCCAACCCTAAAAGCATTCTTCCGAGCACTCCAGCCAACAGCTCTTGTGACCTCCCTCTATAAAATGCTGAAGGATTAACATTGTGAATGGCCACATCAGCTCTTGGAACATCTGACACATCAGACAGAGTGTGGGCTAGGAAATTGGTCTTGGAAATTGCTCCTGCCTCAGCACATATGACAATAAACAGTAAAATAATAGAAAACCCTCCATATGTTTATTAATCTGGATTTAGTTTTTAAAGTCCTTGACCACAGCATGTTGCTTTCTTCCCATTCAGACACATTTGCAGGGATCACAGTGTCTTTTGTTTTTTTAAACACCTACCACAAAATTATGCAAATAGAATAAAGAACTGAATTTGTCCTAGGATTCACTTCCATATAATTCTTGCATAACTCTTAAGTGAAATGCTGGAAAACCATGAACATCAAACCCAGGTGACACAGGGGAGTTTATACACCAAGACCTCCTTGTAAGAGGCACCAAACTGCTTCACATGTCCTACAGTCACAATTCAAATAAAACTGTTCCTCTTTCAAGGGAGAAGAATGAAGCAGAATAATAAGAGTGGTTTGGGTTGGAAGGGACCTTTAAATCCATCCAGTTCCAGCCCTCTGCCATGAGCAGGGACACCTTCCACCAGAGCAGGTATCAAGCCTTATCCAACCTGGCCTTGAACGCTTCCAGGGATGGGGCAGTCACAACTTTTCTAGATGATTTACTGAAGTTTCTGTAGTCAGGAAGGTGTTAGCATTAGGAAAAAAAATCCATGAGCTAAATTTTCCAAGTGATTATTCCTTTTGGATGCTCACATCAACCCCTCAAATGCTCTGATTTATAAAAACACCTTCCTATAAAAATGTCACAAATTAATGACTGAGAAAATAAAGCTTAGAGGAATGTTAGTAATGTTTACATTCAGTGTCCCAAACCCACAGACATTTGCCTCAAAGCAGAAGACTAACCCTGCTACTTTGCCCACAGCCCCTCTGGAGAGGTTACTACATCTTCTCTTTCTTCCACCAGGGACCAGGGTGGCCAGGCTGGCTCTAGAAGGAGATGGGATAATCAAGCCTCCATGGCATTTTTAACTGGCCACAGGACATTTTAACAACCTTGGCCATCCAGGCTCCCTCAGCCACCAATTGCTCATTTCTGGGGAGCCAGCCAAGTTTTTTGGTGTTTGGTCACAGTCTGTGTGCAATGCCAAGAAACTGGTTGACTCAAAAAACAACAATTAAGACCTTCAGCCCGAGGAGGACAGAGGCAATGCCACCACACAGGGCAGGATCTGGTCTCTTCACAGGAAGAGCTGCCCTGTTTTGGTAACTGCTGCTGGGGGACACATCCATTAGGCCACATCCTTATTAATCATGAAATTATCATGGTGAAGAATTTAAAGCCATCTACTAACTAAGAACAATCCCTGTGAGCGTTCTCCAGCAAGCCTCCTCCATGAATAAAACACTTTTCTTAAAGAACCTTGTTGTGCTTTGCAAGGAAGAATCACGTTAATAAAGAGGAAAGATCAGACACCATCACTAATTGACAAGAGCTAAAATGTCAATAGGGTTTCTGGCTGGCAATTAATAAAATGAAAGCATGTGTAATACATCCAAAGCACATCCAGCTGCAGCCTTCTGAATGACTTTTTCAGCTGAAAGAATCAATTCAGCCAAGTTGCAAAATTAAGTGCTTGTTATCGCTTCAATTAAGCTAAACTGGAAAATTTTATAGAATCATCTTTTATTATTTTCTCCAAGAATGAGATTCAATAAATTATACCAAAATATTTACTGCTCCAAAATATTTAACTCAAAATGAATAACAACAAACTCCTCCAAGGAGCTCAAGACATGGATTCTCAAGTTCCCATGTATCAGCTTTAAAAAAATCTAGATGCAGGGAAGAAACATCTCAAGTGGAATTTACATCAAAGGAAGAAACTCTGAAAGGTGAAAGGATGCAAAATTAGATCTTTTTTTTCTTTTAGTTAACTAACTCAATAAATCATAGTTTTCATACCAGTAGTCTAATTTAGAAAGAAAAAAAAACCACTCCAAGGAAACCTAACAGAAAGAAAATGGCAGGGATACACTGGAAAGAACAAAACTAAACTGGATGAGTTCTGCCTTTCCACCCACATTCCATGCAGCAGTGAAACATGTCCTTCATGTAATAAAGGAAGCATGAGCGGGCAGTAGCACACTTTGCCTTGGGAAGGAAGCAAGATATACTCAATTATACAGATGACAGAGTGGATAAGGGAAAACTGGATTACTCACTGTCGAGCACTGGTTTGCTAATTGACATTAGAGACATGGATTTGGTCAGTGGAGATGAAACAGCAGAAGAGGAGAAGTTAAATCCTTGTGGCTGTGATGTCTGATGCACCTGCAGAACAGAACAGAACAGAACCACAGTGAGTATGTCAGGAATGCCAGAACCATTCCAGCCTCAGATCCCAGTTCGGGGCTCATGTTTACTGCAACTCTCACTTTGAAACAGTGAAACAGAGCACAAGTGAAATGCAACATTCTGTTTTGCCTTTTAAGTGTCAGACAACTAATTATGGAACAGAGAGACTATGTGTGCTTGATTTTCTTGCAAAACATTAAAAACCAGATATTGTCAAAACTCTCTGATGGCCATGGAAATTGCTGTTGCGACTCCCAACTCCTCAGCAAAACTAGGCTGTGATCCAAGATGACAAAAAAAATCTGATGCTCAGCAGTTTGTTCCCCAAAAATGCCATTCCTCTAAGCGAGAGAAGACACAAGTGCTGTGTTGCCACAAACAATGAAGTAGAAAATTTTAAAGAGCTGGAGATTTCTCCATGTCAAAGATGGAAGATTTTTAACATTATGTATATGTACATATACGGTGGAAGCCTTTGTCAGACTGTCACTTGGGAAAATGACTTCCGAAATGTTGATGTAGCATTTCCCAGACATCCAACAGTAGTTGGACAGCTTTACCTGGTGGTTGTAGTCTCTGATTTCTCCTTGCTCGAGCTCCTCAGTGAGCAGGACCAGGGACTGATTGCTGGCAAGTGGACTCCTCCTGAGGTCTTTGGAGCTCAGAGAAGAAGCCTCCAGGTTTGTAGAGGGCTTCTTGTTCTCACCAGAGTCTCCAGCAAGGCCTTCCAGGCTGTAACTAAAGAGAAAGCACAGAGGTCAGGTGCTGCCAAACTCTCAGGGACCAGTGTCTTTCAGCACAGAGCACCTGCAAACATAAAACACAGAGCAGGCACTGAAGTGTGCAGGCAAAGGCAGGTGCTACTCCTCAGCATGTTCTTTTTTCTTCAGAGCAAATAGCAACATCTTTGTGCTTCTAATGAAGGTCTGTCTGTTGCTTGAACAACCATTGAAAGTCCTGGTAATTGCCTTTCCTACTGTTTTTTTATCTTTTTGAGTGGTGCACAGGAAAATCCAGAAACGCCCCTTCTAAAGATTTTGGCATTTCCATATATTCTCTTTGATAGCTTTTTATTAGGCTCTCCCTTGGAATAAAGCCACCCAAATCAAACTACCAGGTGCTGCCTGTCCTAGACCAATACCCCTCCCAGCAGCCACATCAGCGACTGTAACACTCATCTCTGCAGCCACATCCTCTGAATCTATTTTAAATCCTGACACTGCACAGTTTTGGCACTGACAATGTCATCGATTCTGCCAAAGCTGGTTTCCTTTTACCCATGGTGTGGTTTTGTTTTTAAATTCAATAAATGTTGTTTCCATCACTCAATCAATTTTATTTTATCATCTACTGAGGGAGCTAGGTCTTGCCCAGCAGAGCTGGGCAATAACTCAAAGCTAAATAAAACACTAAACTTTTTCTTGCAGAACTGTTAGAAAAAAAGCATCTGGCCAAACTCTGTAGAGATGGGTGCTGATAGACAAGTGACATTCTCCTCACACCTATACAAAACACATCCTGTTTCACATGGGACTATTTAATCCGATAAATCTTGCCCTAATATTCTGCTTCTGACCCTCTTGCTCCTCGTGCCAAAGCACCAACAAACCCACTGAAATTCCAGTGTGGGTTCACTGGGTGAAGCTTTGCAGATTCCCCTCCCAGGACACCAGCACAGATCCATGGCCAACCTTTGATTTGATACTCACTAAGTGCCAGCCCTACTCTGGATTTATATCCCAACCCAAGGCTAATCATGATGTCTGTGGTGAACAAGCTGACATGAAACACATGAAAAAGAAAACATACCACAGGCTGTACAGATGATTTAAACAACCAAAGGAGCTTTAAATTCAGGTAGACTTGCATAGCAGTGATTAATGTTCTGCAGTCCCTTAGAAGCATTAAAAGGCTCATAAATATGCACCTTGAAAGCAAAAACTGCAATAAACCATGAATAAGAAGATTTAGTAATTTAAAAACCTTTTTTCATGGTAATTAATGAGGAAAAAAGGAGTGGTTGAAGCATTTATAATTTAATCTGCTTTAGGAAGATTGTGACTCATCAATGTGTATCAACAGTAGGCATTTAAAAGTTTATTCTAAATCACCTGTAGGTGGAAATCAGTCTCATTTCTACTGATTATTTAGGACAGAAGAAATCTGTTTTTTACATTCCAAGGTAGCAACAACAATGCTGCATAGTAGAGAAAAAAAAATAATGTACTTGTGATAAAATTAGCTAAAACCTGCAAATATCAGCCCAAAAATTAGTTATCAGTGACACTGGTCTGTAATTTGCTGATTGGCATATATACACCAAACATAACTGACCTGTACGAGGAAGTGCAGGTTTCCTTCTTAATAGCTACTCTTCAGAAAAAGAGTTTTAATAGCTCTACCTACAACCAGCAAAAACTGCCACAGGAAAGCCATAAAGCCATAAAATCTGGGGGACTGGCTTCCAAACAATATTGGGTAAAGAAGTGACCTGCAAACACCAATATCAGTGCTGGGACTTTCTACAGAAGATGCCAACTTTAAGAGCCTGGGGAATTTTCATCTGTGGTGATCAGATTGGTTTTTTTTCAGGGAAGGTTTTATACGATTAGTCTCCTTGAAGAAAAGACTAGGTCTTTCAATTTACAGAGAGCAAGTCTGTGTGAACTTAAATCCTTTATGAGACTGATCTGATACAGAGAAGTGCTGAATCATATTTAATCTCAGTTTGATTTGCTGTCACAATTATCATCCTGATCACTGCTGTGGAAAAAAGCACGGCTTGAAGTCATCACAGAACAGAGCAGCTCAACCCAACAGTGCAGCTTCTTTACTGCCAGAGGCCAGTGGAAAGCAGCCACCACCTCCACCTACAGCCCAGCTCTGAGGATCCACTCCCAAGAGTAATTGCTGAAAAAGCAGACCAAGCAAACAAACACGTGCACGCTTCAGCCAGAGCAGCGGCGGAGGAGACGATGCACGAGAAGCTGACGACAGGGTGTTTGCAGAGCTTCTGTGCTGCTGCACATTTATTCATACCGTACCTTCTACAAGTAAAGTCAGGACCCATGGCAATGTACTGTACGCCTGAGGGACACCAGCTCAAACTAGGAACAGCAAAAGAGGCAAAGAAAGGAAAAGGGCAGTGAATATCAGATTGTTATGGAACATGGGGGACGTTAAAATACTCTCACTCTCACGTATCTTGAAAAAAAACAACAACAAACTCAGAAATAATGCAGTAGCACACGTCTGGTTGAACAAACACACCACAGTACCTCAAATGCCCGAGGTTACCACTGAACAAGAGTAGGACAGCTCACGCTTCCCCCAAACCAACTCCACCAGTGAGTATACAATGTACTGGAAAAAGTACTCCTTGTGAGGAGAGAGGTTTTTGGGAAAAACAAGGCTAAAACATACCAAAGCCAATTTGTAAATAATCACACACAGCCATTGTGTTAGTAATTGTTAGTATTTTCCTGGGAATGCTCATTCTCAAATCAGAAAAAGAATCCCTTACAGATATTTCATAGTTTAAGTCCCCTCCATAGAAATACCAATAACCTCAGGCTACACTTGGAAAAATAAGGAGAAAGACACATTCTCAAATGCTGCACAGCTAATCAGTGAAAGAGGCTGGAAGAAAAAAAACAGGCTAATCTTACTATTGATTTGGGATTAAATCAAGTGTGCCACTAGCTAAAAAACCCTTCAGCTCCCATTCCCCAAAAGAGTCCCAAAGTTGCATCATGAAAGACCTAAGAAATGCAAATATAGAATGCAAATATTTTTTGTTGTTATTTTAGACTGCTTTTGTTATTTTTTCTCCGTTAGCTCATGGCCCAATTGCAGGTTTTGCAGAAACAGAGAAATCCATCTTCTTGTCAACTATGACATTTATATGATTCCTAAATCCTGAACAAGCTGTTCAGAAAGCATACATTGTCTAAAGGGAATTTTGCATAAGCACAAGTCCTGCTCCAGGTCCTGGTCTGAGAGCCATGCAAGGAGGGGACATGGCCAGAACATGCTTTGCTTCATGAAGGGAGCCTATGAAAAGGGCAGAACAAATTTAAGCCTTCTTGGACAAGGAACTGTGAGTGCCAGAAGCCTCTGAGGGCACAGATGAAGATTTAAACCCACTGAATGCATCATGTCATGCCATCTCATGTTGTTTCCACACACACTGCAACACTGGAAACATTCTGGAAGGGTTTGACAATTGGAAACATTCTGGATGGGTGCTTAGTGGCAGAGTTCAGATAATTGCTGCCTGTTTTATAAAGGATGTTAACTGGGTGAGGACACACCCAAAGCTTTGCACTCAAAAGGTGTGCTTCACCAGGAGCTCTCAGCACAGTACTATAAACATTCTTCAGGAAAACATTCCTTCCCATAACATGCCAATATTTCCAAGTACTTCATCATCCTCACCCACTTCAACCACAATGGCAGATGTTGAAGTATTGGTGGGTGATGGCAGGGACTAAATATTTGTGTGAAATCATAGAGGAACCAAGTCCAGGCCACAGGAAATCCATCTCCATCACACACAACCTGCACTCTCGGGCCTGGGGTCAGCCTCCCAGCAGGTCACTCAGACCTGCTCAGGGGCAGCAGAGAAAGCACCCCAAGGAAGGTGTCACACATGATTCCCCAGGCTATCTGCTTGTGGCCACAAGAGCAATGAGCTTGGGGGACCCTCTGAGATATCCTTATGTCACCTTGCTTTTCAAAGCCACTCATTTTTGGGTGGTCCCTTTTCAGTCGAAGGAAAGAAGACTCTCCTCATTAAGGAAATCATGTAATGTTTACACTAGACTCTAAAAGATGCCTCTATTCCTGACCACTGCCATGTTATGGAGATGATCCCAAATGCTAAAACTGCAGGAGAGGGAAGAAGAAAAGTAGAGGGAGGAAAGAAAAGGAGCCCTACATATATAGGAGGAGGCCTGGAAGTGTTGAGATCTCACAGAAAGAAGGAAGGAAGGGGATTTGTTGGCAAAGGCTGTGGAAAGCACTCTTGCAGAATCACAGTCCTGCGGGGGAGCCACCCACAGTCTGTTGGCAACACCATAAAATCCTAAAAAGATCAATGCAGACCATGCAAAACTCCTTTACAGAAGACAATTTGGGGAGGAGGAGGAGCTTTTATCTACATCAGCCTTGTGGGAGAGCATAAACAGCTGGAATCAGTTTCAGGCTCCTGCTCCACAAGTGGGGTTAGAGATTTTTTTGGGGATGATTCCAAAATGGTTTAGAGACCAGAAAAAGTGAGGAAGTGTTTATGAAGGGATTATAACACATTTCAGATATGACCAGGTATTCTTTATTCTACATGTAAGCTCAGTGTTTCAGGATGTTTTGACTCTAAATACTAACACAGCTCCTACAGAGGAGCTTTAAGAGAATACTGATAAAAATAAGTTTATTTGCATGAGCTGAGAAGACAAGCATTGCACTGCTTCCTGCAGTGGTACAAATGAAGTGGTTTCTTAGAAATAAAACTGCATGTTCTTCTTTATGCATTTTTTTTAAAAGTTGGTTTTTAAGAATATTCTTTTGAACTGTACAGTGCTGCTGGGATTCATTGATGCTGATGCATAGTGAGGCACAGTGATTTTTTTGGTCATAACATCATGGTAACATTCTTTTCACATGTGTGAATGTGGTAGTTTGTTTACACACAAAACACCCCATCCATATTTCAGGTGAAGTGAAATCCTGAGTTAACCTGGCACAGGAGAGGGGGTAGCAGGCTATGGGAGGTGAGACAAGCTGGAAACACGGAAGGGCAGAAGTTCAACTTCTCTTTTTTCTTTAGCCTAAAATGTCTACATATGGACAGCCCACATCTGCTGTGTCAAAAATTAAGTATCCTCTTTTATATATTAATAGTCAATGCAAAAGTAACATGTGTGGAACTGTGTATCTGTAGGATGGATGAGAAACTGCAAGTTCATTATAGAGAGGAAAAACACATGAAAGTAAAGGGAAAAACATACTGTATTTTCTATTTTTTAGGAAGATGGTTATAAAGACCATCAAAAGAGCAAAATTAAAGCCATTTAACTCAACCAGCTGCAGACCTGCAGAGTGTTCTGCAACTCTGAGATTGTGTTTGACCATCCCTTCCCCTAGCTGCCCCTCCTGCAATCTTGCCAGGAGTCTCTGACGTGCTTTAAATCCAAATCACACACATGCTCCCAGGTAAACCACTGTCTTAACCAACTCCAAATCTTACACATGGCAAAGGCCAACAAAATCATATCTGAGATTTCTCTTCATTATTAAGACAATGTCCTGGAGAAAACAGCTCAAGCATGGGCTCTGTGGGGCACAAAACCTGCCCTGGGTCAGACTGGAGAGAGAAAGCAGCCAGGTGGGATGCACAGCTCCAATGCCAACACTTCCAGAGGTACTACAGGTTCACTAACACAAGAGGATAGTTAGTAGACATTCAAACACAATCTGTTAGTCACATTAGTTGGCTTTGTACCTTCTCCTATGAATGGGAGGCTTCTTTATACCATCCCCCAGAATTCGCATTGAACTGAAAATGAATCATGGAGAATGGTCAGCAGCTTGAATGAAAAAAAATTAACAAATGGCAGCTAAAGGATTAAAATCCCCAACACACAGACAGAGGGAATGGACATACAGGGAAAACACAAAATGGAATATGAAAAGAGGTAATGAGTCTCTGTGTTTCTCCTCTCTTCTACAAATAAATCTGGGATTTGGTTGGTTTTATTTTGTACAGAAAGAAGGTGGCACAGGTATTGACCATGTTGCAACTTTGCTGCTGCCAAAGCCAGGTCAGTTTAGAGTTTAGATAAGGCCAAACACTTTGACAGAAACTGTTAGCAGTAGTGATTAACACCAGCTCCAGTTCTGCAGTGCTTAATCCATCAGTGAAACATGAGGGTGTTTCTTTCCCCAGCCTGGATGTTTAACACACACTGCAGCATTGTTGAAAGACAGGCATTTCAAATCTGCTATGAATGTCAGGAATTAACTGAAGGATGAACATCCTTTTGTGCAGTCTTGTTGGGTTTTTTTGTATTTTTAATAGCAAAATGCAGACACAAGGATTATCTGTGAAGTGCATTTCAAGAAAAATGGGAAGTGAAGGGGAACTGAGCATCTTTTCACGTTTTCATTTAAGACTATTATTTTTTTCCTGATCTTTTCTGTGAACAAACTTTTATGCTCATCCCTCTTACAAAGAGAAAACATGTAACAGTGGAAAAGACCAAATTTTACATAAGGTTGATTTATTTTTTTTTTCTGTAGGATCTTTGGGTCCTCTATCTAAGCTTGACGTAGCTATCTTTGTCATCAAGGTCTAGACTATTTTTGATGTGGACAGGGGCTGCAAGCGGTTTGTGAGACAGGAAGCACCTCTCAGAGCTCAGCTGATGGTGCATTCTGTCACCTTTTTTCTCCTCCTGGCTGCACAGCCCAGTTCTGATCCTTGGGCTGGTTTTGGCGGCAATTACACTTTATTTGGTTATTCTTCTCCTCATTTAGTGAGTGCAAGATGCTCACCTGCAGAGCAGAGAAGTGCCATGGGTGCTCAGAGGAGGGGAGGGAGCACAAAGGATGGTGGGAGCAGCACAGATCCTGCCCATCAGCAGGACAAACCTCAGCCAAGGCTTGTGCTCAGTGTTACTCCACATTGCAGGTTTGCAAAAGTCAAGTTGCAATAAGGACTCCTCCCCTCCTACTGGAAAAGCATCTATTGCATGTGAAATAAATGGCTAAGCAAACACTCCGAATTTAACTGATTTGAGAGAAAGTCACTTGTTAGCACTTCACTTCCTCAGTATTTGTTGTTTCTCACTAAGCAACGAGAGTCTCAACATCACAACAGCCACATATGAAAAGAACAAAGAAAAGAACAAAACAACACAGCAAATAATCCAAATTCCTTTCTAAAAGAAGCATTAAACCAAACATGAATCTAATCAGCACCACAGACCCACCCAGCTTTTCTAACTACCCTACATGACAGCTATCCTTATGTAGCTGCAGCTGTATGTGAGAACATATGAGAAGAATTACTGTTCCTTTAACTCAGATTTTCTTACACTTACAATGAATGTATTTTCCCCCGTATCAGAAACAGCCTCCAAAGTGTGATGCAGGAGAATTTAACCCCATCTGTTCAGTGTTAGCAGTGATTGCCAGCTATGCAGTTTATTTCCCTCAGAAATCCTTATGCATCAGGCCCTACACTTAAAAATAAATCTCCCCAAATGAGTTTATGAGCCTATGGACTCATTCTGTCATAAACCTGCAGGTATGCCGACACTTTTGTCACTTTTAAAAACTGATGGGGATTCATTAACTTATTTAAGTACTACCTGAGAACCAGGAATGAAGCCCAAAAAAGGTGACAGTGTTAAACAACAACAACAATAATAGCAACAATACAAATCTTTCACTGTATGTTACTTAGAAAATCCTGAATGGTTTTCAACATTGACTTTAACACCTGAAGGTGATATTCCTTCAGTGATACCCACAGCTCCTGTGTGTAAAGGATGCATACATTCCTGATGGGAGGCTGCTGCCTCTCCCTGGATTATCCACAGGGGTCAGAATTTTCAGGAACTCGTTGAGAGCGGCCAGTTTTAATTTAATGCCATCCAGCCCCACATGCAATGGCTCTGTTTCTGTTAACAGCAGGACATTTGCCATGAGGACACAGCAGGCAGCCAGAGAGTGGCACTGCCCTGCACACCCGGGCCTGCAGCCTCTGTGAGCTGTAGGGAGGATACGGCACCCTGACCTGATAAGCAACTGGCCATTCCTGCTCTGAGAGCCTAAAAAACACTGGCCAAACCACCACTGGGCTCAGAATGCACAGGGTTTGGCCCCAAGCACCCCACAGCCCAAATGCTGAACAGTGCAGGGCATGGCAGGGAACCTCCCACCAATTACTACTTCTTGGTGTGCATCTTCCTTTGTTTCATCTCCTTCCCCACTGAAATGGGAGACTGAGCAACTTTTCTCCCCACAGTCACTTGGCACCAGCCTGGACACACTGACATGGCTTGTACACCTCTGCCCCTTGTACCTTCTGAAAGAGCAGATGGGAAAACTTCTTTTGAATCTTCCTGAACAGGGACTTCAGTGATGAATTAGGTGGAACTTACTGTGCATGAGAGACTGAGAGGGAACCAATTCTGTGAAACAGAGAGGACCCATCTCACCATCATGAAGGGCTTCCAAAGAATTTTTTTAAACCCTGGTGCCTGTGTTATCCCTTAATACAATCAGAGCAAATAATGGTCATGTTTATTCTGTGGTCACTGAGATTTAACACTCCAATAATTCCTTTGTACAGAAAGGGGTGGTGACAGTTCTAATGGAAGACCTGTCCCGAGGTAATTCCATTTACTCTGGACAGCTCAAGCATACTGTAGGTATTAAGTACTTTAATCCTGAAAGTTAATTTAAGAAAAAACAAACAAACATACATTAGGAGATTGTCTTAACCTCTTCAAAATGAAAAAAGAAATAATCAAAAGCGACGTGATAAACTCTTCAGTTTTATCACGCCAGCTTTAAAGCTGAGATAAATACGCATGAGTGGGTGCAGAGTAAATCAAAGCAGCTCTTCACTCACCTCCTCTGATTGATTTCTGCCTCGTTGGTGGCATTCTTGCCCGGCCCCCAGCTGTGCCGGCGGAAGGGGGACAGCGGCCGCATGGAGCCGCGCAGGACGGAGGAAGGTGCGGGCACGTCCGTGATGCTGTCCAGCTCTTCTTCCTTCTCCCCTCCTTCTGAGGACACCATGTTGGTGCAGCTGCCATCCAGGCTGTGTCTGTCCTTGGGCTGGGCGAAGCTCCCCACGGGTGGGAAGGGGAGGGACGTGTCGCTGCCCAGGGAGGAGTTCCTCTCCAGGGACATGGTGTCGTCTGCAGAGGAGCTGGAGCTGGTGACATCGCACGCAGACTGCTCCTCTTCAGGCTGCTGGGGGTGAGGAAAGTTAAAAATCAGTTCAAGTAGAATCATAGACTGGTTTGGGTTGAAAGGAACGTCTAAAGATCAGCTAGTCCAACACCCCTGCTGTGGACAGGGACATTGTTCACTAGGACAGGCTGTGCAAAGACCCATCCAGCCTGGCCCTGAACACTTCCAATGAAGTGAATACACTTAACATTTTAAATAAATGCAAATATTTTGTATTTCATATGAGCTGAGAGATTTCCTAGTTGATGGCATAAGGCAAATTAACCATCATAGAACTGAGACTTTTTGCTCTGGTTACAAAAGAGGCTGAAATGCTCTGCAGGGTGATCTCTTCCCTCTCACAAGTCCCTGGCTGCCATTACCCAGCTCAGATCCTCTGCCTGCCTTCCTCTCCCCAATTCTGGATTTCATCCTGCACAGCAAATCCTGTTCCTCTCACCATTTCTGGCTATATCAATCAAGCTGCCATAAAACTGCCAAAGGTTTACTGAGAGCAAGTAATGGGGAAGGGGGTTATCACAACTCCTGATGACAAACCCCAGCCTCTCCTGTGGGACTGGGATAGGCTTGTAGAGCTCAAGGGCAACACACTGTTCCACTGCACCATGCAACACAAAAAGGAGAATTATTCAGCAGCAGAAAACAGACAGAAAAAAAAATATATAAGCTTAATTTCTGTGGGACTGGGATGGGCTTGTAGAGCTCAAGGGCAACACCATGCAACACAAAAAGGAGAATTACTCAGCAGCAGAAAACAGACAGAAAAAAAAATATAAGCTTAATTCCCCATCCCCAACTACTTTCTATTAAGCAGAAAGTTAATACCAGGGTTTGCAGCATTTTTCTAATCCAACTGTCATTGAAAAATATTGTTCAACAGGAACAGCCACCCTGTATTAGAGATTTTGAGTCATACGGTAATTTTTGGGTTTAGTTTGCTCCAAAAGCAGTATGTAGAAGCCAAACTCTCTGGCCAAAGGCCACATGCTGACCATACAGCCCCAGAAGAGCCCTCGTTCCCCGTGGCCATGATAAAAAACACAAGTACCTCTCTGACATCACCTCCAGTGTGAAATGGTGTTTGCCCTGAGGGACTGACATGGGAAGTTTCAATTTATCCTGCTGCAGAGCCCTGTATCATTTAAAATAAAAACAGGCAGAGTGCTCTGTCAGGCCATACACCACAGAGCAGTCAGCAAAGCCCTGGTGGTTAATTGTCCTCACACAGTGGGCTCAGGGGGCCTGGCAGGAGCTGAGTGCTCCAGGGGCTGCAGGCTGTCAGCAAGCATTTGGCAGAAGACAACTGGATGCAAAATCCTGTTCTTGGAAGGGAAAGATGGGCATCAGACCACATGGAGGGAAGGATGAGCAGGAGTGGTGTTAAACAGTCCAGAGACTTTTGTTTTTCTGTGCTTTATTTGAGGGGCACACACTATAAGCTATAAGCTTTTTCTCTGACTGAACAAAAAGAAACCGAGATATTCAAAATATCTTCTAATTGAATATTTCACTACTCAGAAAGAAGCCCTGTTTAAAGCTTAGCTATTTTTTATTCTTAGGTCAGTGTAACAGGTACACAATAATGTTCCTGAGATGGTTTAACTAAATGCTGTCACACTGCTTCCCCTCTCACATCCATCAAAGGGAAATAGAGGGGAAAAAAAAAGAAAAGACAGCATCCACAACACAACACCAAAATACAAGAACATTTTAAACAGAAAGCATTAAAAACCACAGTATAAATACATCCCTCCAAAAACATTCAAGTATGTCAAATATTAATAGTTAATATCAGCAAACTGTGTTCTGTAAACTAGCGAACTATTGGATTTGATACATTTGAATAGGAAGCTGAGGTTTAAACAAAAGAGAGCTGAAATGGAAGCCCTGTGACGTTTTTTATGATGTTCAGCAGTATTCAAGATAATCTGATAATTGTGTGAGTCATGATGAGAACTTACTGAATTGCTTAAATAGAGACAAATCAAGCAGTCATTACGTGGATAACACTCCTACAGTGGAGGAAACAATCTGCCACTTTTCTAAGACAGAAAAATACTTTCAGACATTAGATCAGACTGGATGGGGCTCTGAGCAACCTGCTCTAGTGGAAGGGGGTTGGAACAAGATGAGCTTTAAGGTCCCTTCCAACCCAAACCATTCTGTGATTCTGAGATTGGGGCAGCAGAGCAGGACAGGAGAGGACTGACGTCACCCCATCAGCTGTGTGAAGCATGGGAGAGTTTGGGAACTTGCAATCTGGATACAAATCTAGAAACAATAGTGCAGAACACCAAATTAAATAGAAAGGGATTAGAGTAAAAAGAGGAATTTTTATTTCCCAGATGAGAATACTGCTGCAGTTTGAAATGCAAAACAAAACCCACTTCCCTAACAAGGAAGATTTAGGGTTTTTATCACAAAATGCAGTTCAAGGAGATGGTTGAAAAAAGGGAAGTACATTTGATCCATTTTAACTTTTACCTTGAGCATTCAACTGACAACAGAACACAATGAACAATTCCCTTGAACTTATGGCCCATGCTTATTCTTCTAAAAATATTAAGCCGTCATTTAAATGATTTTTTTTTAAACAAAGGAAAACAGTTAATATGAAAGACGACTCTGTCTGAAAAATGCCAAGCATGGCTGACACATCTAAAACATCTATATTGTAGTCACCACTGCAGAAAATTGGCTATCTGGCCAGTAAATATGCATTGCTCTTTAATCCCATTTGAGTACGAAAATACCATGTTTGCAGAACAGAATGTATTCTTTTCTTACAGGAAAAAGGAAACATTACAGAAATACTAATTTTCTTCAAGTTAGGCATGCTGGATTGCACCGCAATGAATTTAGGACTTAATTGTGGCCAAAAAAGAGCCTTTACAGACGTTTACTAATAGGCATTTTCTTTGCCCTCAGTATTTGCTGAGAAGCTTCTAAGAAAAAATAAGGTGTAGAAGTGAGTATTCTGAGAAAGGACACATGCACTTCTCCATGAATAACAGAAATCACTGGGATGGTGATAACTTCTTCACCTAAATCCCTCCAATGTAGGAGGTCTTGATAAGGAGAATTCAAATGTTCTTTCAATCATTTCCATGATGACAACCTGCAAAGTGCTGAGACACAAACTTTCTCTGTCCCCTGACCTTCAAAGTCATTAAAGATGTTAAGAGTATTTTAAAAGAAGAAGATGAAAAAAATTAAACCTTGGAATCCTGAATTTTATTTGGAATACCATTCCACTAAAGGAGTCAATACATTTTAGTTGGCTTGATATATAATCAAGCAGAGTAATTTTTAAATTTGGATTTGCCTATGGTTCTAGGTTCCCTAAAATTAACCTCAACAGTGGCCTTCTACTAATTATTTATCATAACTTTTATGATTTGGAGTGGATGTGAAAACCTTTCCCTTAAAATTTTTATTCCTTTGAGTTCTTTTTTTTTGCACAGCTGTTGGGGGTTTTTTTGTTTGCTTTTTTTTTAAGAGATACAACAACTCTGAAAAATAAATGCAAAACATTTATGTATTTGTGTATTTTCTTTGAGCAGACCAAAACAAAGGCAGAAGTTAAATAATATTCAAGACTCTGAGTTGCAACCCCATCCTTTGACAACGATCTGTGGGTTCCTGTCTCCCTTCATCTGAATCATTCCCAAGAGGCACATTAAAAATCTTCCCAGTAATGCTGGACTTGGGTGGCTGGTTGAAAGTTAAGATGAGCAAAGCACATGGGCTCCACCCCAGGATGTTGCCAGATGATTGTGAGAAATGACCTTATGCAGCATTCATCGTTCCAGAAGGAGGATGCTGCAAAGCCTGCCCAGATGGCTGTCTGGGACAGAGAGGGAAAAGCAGGAGGATGAGGACATGGGAATGAAGTGCTGACGCAAAAAAAAAAAAAAAAAAAAAAATTAAACATTTTGCTGAAGCCACAGTCTTGGAAGCAACTTCTGAATCTCAGTGACAGCCTGTATATTCTGAAAAAAAGGGCAGGTTTTAGTGTTAAAGCTCCCTGACCCCGACAGCTCATGTTCCACAGCTCAGCCTATGTCCTAGAGAGAAAAAGAAATGAAACAAGCACAGGAGAAGGGAAGGAGATGGGAGAGGAGCACACAGCAAACACCAGGGATAGAGTAAGGCACCTGCAAATTCTGTGACCCCACAGACCCCAATTCTTCATGGTTTTGGGACAGAACCAGGGCTTTCAGTCTATGCATTCCTAGTGGAAGCAGCCCAAATACCTTGCACAGACAGCAACTTGCTCTCCCCACATTGATTTTAATGCATTAAGCAGTAAGTGAAGAAGGAGTTATTTCTACAATAAAAAAAAAGAAAATAAATTATTCTAGTAGACCAAAGTTCAACTCCTGCTCCACAGAAAGGGGAAACAAGAAGAAAACTAGTAATAACAATAATCACCATGACACTGAAAGGTTTGAGATCCTCTTTTTGTTCATAAACATATTCTGTCTCTTCCCAATTTGATACAGAAACTGTAATATTTCATAGGTTTATAAATAATCAACTACAGCCAAAACAAGTATCTTACACTAATTTTTGGACAAAAGATTACAGCCACCATTTATTTTGGTGGTCATTAAAAATACCTATAATTTGCATTTCTACCACCTGTATTCAGTACTGTAAAACCAAAAAAGATTTAATTAAGGAACAAGCTCACAATGCTAAATTCGTTTTTCTGGTCCTTTAGAAATAACTTTAACTGTAGAAAAAATACTCAGAAAAATCCTGAGAAAGGAGACAAGGAATCAAATTGGTAAGGAAAACAAAGACAAAGTAACTGAGGTTGAGATTGGCTTTGAATAACTTCCTCAACTCAGCTCAGGAACCTTTTGAAACCAAGACTTTGAAGACAAAGTCTGCAACCCACTGCATAATGATAACAATGCAAAGGCTGCTAAATTAAGGAATTTCCTTTCTCCAAAGAAAAGAATTCCTGCCTCTGCCCTCTCTCCACTGGCAATTGAAGACCTGCTTTCCCCACCACCTCCTCCCTTCCCTATAGCATCCCTGCTACACTGCACTGCCTACTCCGGTTACATGTTAATCTTTCTTTCTCCTATTTGAAGGAGGAAACTTTCCACATAAGAAAGAGGAAAAGCTAAAATTCTTTATAACATAAAATTTGCTGTGTTCCCTCTGCACTCTTCTCCCACACTTTCCCACAGAAGCATTAAATCAGGCTCAAATGGCAGCTGCCTGTCACAGTCCGTGTCACTCTGCACAAGGGAAATGAAGGCAGCCTGCTCTGCCAAACAGCCTTGTCCTCTTACAGTCCAGGGCCCCATATCCTCTTGACAGTAGGATGGGAAAGGGCGAGGCTGGTGAGCTCTGTGCCCTACCACGTGCATGAAGGATGACTTTACTGTTCATTTATAGCACATGAGATCACTTTGCCTGGGCTGTGGTGTTTCCCATCCTGCTGGAAAATATTCACCACCATCTGATTTGATTTCAGCAAACAGAACTGTGTTTCAATCAATACATTTCTCAGAAAGCCAGTGTGAAAGCTACTCTGAGAGTTATGTTTTTCAGAGCAGGAGCTGTGTCTGCCCAAACCTGTGAGCTGCAGCTGAACTGAAGAGTGGGATTTCATGGAGACCACAGTGATGGCTGCTCTAAAGAAGGGTCACATCCCTTTTGATTCTACATCACTTTATTCCTTCTGGATGTTTTTTCACCATCTGCTTACGCCAAGAAGAGTACAAATTACCAGCAAGACAATTCTTCAAGAGCAAAAACCTAATGACCCCCTGAACAAATTCAGGCTGCTCTGACGTAGATGCAAAAGACTGATGCCAAAGGGAGGCACATCCTCTGCTCAGGAGGCCAGCTCTGCCTCTCAGGTCTCTCCCACTCCTCCTCAGCAGCACAAAGGGTACAGGGATGACTAAGGTTACCAGTGACTTCAGTTGTTGATTTTAAGCAAACTTGAAAACACTTTCATTCTGCTTGCACGTAAACAGGCATTAAAGGTATGTTGCCTAGGCAACAAAACTATTCCCTGGAATTGGCCTGAAGTATTTAGAATGAGTGTTTCCTTCCTATGACACTGAATTTACAGAAAAACACTGGTTCCTCTGAGAATTACAGCATATAAATCTGAAGGTATCAGCACAGAGGTCACAGTTTACTGGAGAAAAGCTCTTTGTTACATGAGTTAAAGATGGATTTCATATCGTCTGTGTAATCCCTAATGCCCTTGCAAGAAAATCCACCTTTTCAACTCTTCCTCTGGTGCCTGATTTACTTTTGGAGACAAAATTACTTCCATTTTTTTAACCACTGGGGGCTGCACAGCTTTTGGAATTCTGCTGCAAGTAAATACATCCCTCATGTCGCTGCATCCAAGGAGGAGACCGGATCCTTCCCATCTACTTGGTTCCAGGATAATCACTTCCAGGTTTCCAACTCACCAGAGAAACCAAGATGATCTGTGTGTGCTGTATGGGTTTATCAGGGGCTTTTTTAACCATATCCCAACCAGGCTTTCTTACCTTCCCAAAGACAAGGTCTTCCATCCCATCACCAGGCAAGGGGAAGAGGTCAGACTCACTCCCAGACTCTCTTTTAAGACCACCGTGTGACGAGGCACAGACGCTGCTCAGCCCATCCTCCAAGAAGTTCTCACATTCTGCAGGAGCAGAGCACAAAGAGTCACAACCTGAGGCTTTCTGCAGCGTCCACACATCAGACTCGCATTCTCTCAGTGAATTCCAGTATTTAAAACACACAGTTTTACAAATAAAGCTGTATACATTTGTTCACCTCTCAAAACTGCTTGTGAATTCTCAAATGATTTATTCCAGAGTTTAAAACTCCTTTTTAAGTGCATCATTGAAGTACATGGTGCAAACTGAAATACTGCATGAAACACTTGTAGCTTGAGGTGCTGATAAATACACTATAGATGAGGTATCCCATAACAGTGCATGTGGGATGTTTCCTATTGATTTCAACAAATGCAAAATTAGATTCATATTCAATAAATATAAAAATATAACTTGTCAATATTTGCTTTCTTTCTCAAAGAATCAATTTCCTCTAAATGCCAAGGTGCTTTTAGTGCATATTTAGACAATTATTTAATCTCTTCTACACTACTTACTGAAAAAGCACTAGTGTGGATTCCATTACAAGCTCTACTTTTTCAAGATTCAAGAATTAAGTGATTTTTTAAAAAACCTTCGGCTTTCATAACTCCTGATATTAAACAGAAGCATGCTGCATCTCTTTTTTTTTTTTTTTACAAATGCTTCCAGCTGTTTGCACTGTGTTAATCAGAAGTACAGAACTAGACTGCAGCCCCTGCAAAAGCCCCCTTTCCAAAACCTTTAACAGACAAGTATTTGCCTATGAAGTGCCTGTATATATTTTATTTGCTTATCCTTCAGGCAAAAGCATTAATGACAATTTTGGCAAAGATTGAACACTCACATTTCCTAGCTCAAAATATTTTCGAATTATTAGTTTGTTTGTTTGTTTAAAGAAAGGTGCTATTTTGCACCTCCTCTAACTGAACAGATCCAAAATGTGTTCAGCTGTCTGGAGAAGAGCCAGGACAATAAAATATTAGTTCACTCTTAAATTATATCTCACTAACTCTATCCTTGGTGACATCAAGCTTAAAAATCACTGAAAGGATGACAGTTTTGGTAGCTTAAGGTCACCTCTTTGCCTTCTCCATCCTTAATCTGTGCCTGACAGCAGCTATGGAACACCCTGGCCACATCCCAACCGATGGGAGTGACTCCACTTCTGCAGAAAATAGAATTACTTTGATAGTGGTGGGGCTGACCCCATTTAGGGCAGGGGGAGTTGAAGGCAGTCGGAAACCCCATTACCCCACAGAGGAATTTCCATGCAGTGGAGAATTGGAAAAGCACTTATTGGATGCTGCAGCTGCTCCTGTTCCCCTTTCAGTAAACCTGGAAAATCTGAACTGCTTTTCCATCACCGAGGGGGAGAAGGGAGGGGAGGGAAGAAGGGGGGGAATGAAGGGAAAGAGGAGACGGAGCGGCTGTGGGGACGTGGGCCAGGTGCTGTTCATCCAGCTGGCAGCCAGCACAGCATGTCCACAGCCCAGACTGAAAAACAAAGGGGCTCCAGCCACGTTCCACTGGAAAATCAGAGGGGACAGCTCAGATGTGGATGGATACCTCACTCTCGGGATAAAGCATGAGAGGCAGCAAAGCCTCCTCAGGAGGAGCCTGCCAGGGGCAGAGGAGAGGAAGAAGCATGAGGAGCAGGGTGATGGGTACCCCTCCACACACCTCAGCTCATTTGTGCTGAGAAACTCATTCCCAAGCCCTCTCTCCCCTACACTCTCCTTCACTTTTGGTTGGAGGTGTGCATATTTTCTCCATTTTCTCCCTCCCCTTTTCTCAGTTCGCTGGGTTTGTTTTGAACTGCACAGACGCTGCACAAAGCCAGGCTCTGTGTCTCACACCCCTGGCAACACTTCTGTGCATGATATAAAGGCAAAAAAAAATAGAGAAAAAAGCTCTAGGAAGAACATTTCCAAGCAATTTCTTCTGTACATTTTCCAAACTCTTGTGTCTTCCAAGCCAGGGCTGAGCCCTTCAATTCCATGCTGATAACTATGTATCTGCTACAGTCCTCTGCACACCTAATTTCAAAAGCAGTGACAGAAAATGAGAAGCTCCAATTCCTGGAGTTACCGTCTAAGATCTGAGGACTCTGTCCCTGCAAGTCATTTCAGCAGATGAAAAAGGCCTAATCCCTTATCAAGTACTGTATTTTTAAGTCAGCCACATTGACAGCTTGTGGTTTATTGCTCTTAGGTGTTGCCAGATTTTTCTTGCCCTCTCTACGCTGCCCTGCACCACAGAGCAGCAGGAGGATGCCTGTGCAGTTTTTATTTCTTTTTATTTTATTATTTATATTATTTCTAGAAAAGTCAGAACCTGCATAACCTGAGATCCTTCTGCTGCTTCAGTCCATCTGGAGAGCACATTCACTTAAAAACCTATCTCCTTATGTGTGTGTTACAGTCATGCATTATAATGCAGTCATGCACTATAATTATTAATACAAATTTGTATATACAGCTACCTAATTACATAGTGAATATTATGTTTCTATAGTGCAATATTGCATTAGATAATTAATAGGTGTGCAACTGATAGTGATCCATAGGACGACGTGATTATATATTTGGCAAGTCAAATGAGTCCATGTAGTTTAGCAGACAAATGCAGTAAGTATTGCCTGAAGCACCAAAATACTGTACCAAGAGGCAAAGGATTCACAGATACAATAGGCAAAGAAGGTTCTCTTGTAAAAACACACTTGAAACGGCTATTGCTGTTAATGACTCTTCTAAAAAGGGCAGTATTTTTTTTTTAATAAAAAGTCACTTACTTAACTTTGAGTGAGCTAGAACTTCTATTTAGAATAAACCCTTCAGGTCACTAACTTATACTATCCCTTCTTAGCCTACAGTCTGAAAGACTGAGTTTAAATTTTACCCTGACATTCAGTCATTTTCTTTCGTCTCAGACAAATGGAAGGAGATTTAGGTGAGACCACTGCTCAAAAGGACAGCAGGGCAAAAAGCCTCCTCTCCATGAGCAGCCTAAGCAAAGTCCCTATTCAGGGCCCTGATAAATTACTCTATTTGTTTCGAACACGCATAATCCAGTGAAAGGAAATGCTTTTTTTTCTTATCTTGGACACCAACCCTTCTTTGAAGCCTGCCCAGACTAGATTTTCTGTCCCAGTGGAAGAGCCAGAAAGCAGCAGCCAGCACGCAGGGCTGGGATGGGAGCTTGGCACAGCTGGTGGGCAGGGTGTGGGAACCATGGCTCTGAACAGCCTTCCTGCTTCCTGAGCCTGGAATCATGGCAACTTTCAGAGGAAGGGAAAAAAGTAAAAATCTCAAGCCACTCATTTGGGTTGAAATATGGATTTAGGAGTTCAAATTTCTGGCTTTTTTCTTTTATTGTATTATCCTTTTAGCTAGAAACCATGTCTGTGTGCTCCTCACAACATCTTTCAAGCTTATTTAGAAAAAAAAGAGGGGGGAGAAATATCAAAATACTGTTGAATTTTTGAAGCAGTTGAAATGCAAAGTTATTTGAGACGGTGACACACTACACAGCTCCCTGCTAGTCAAGTGCTGCAGCCATGTGCTAACAATGACTCACAGCACAGTCATTACACAGTTTCTTTAATTTATGTGTTTTCCCAATCCAGGCCAGGATGTCAAAAACAGGGAGGAAAGGAGGGATAGAAAAGGTGGGGAGGTCAGGGAGAAAAGGAGGGATAGAAAAGGTGAGGAGGACAGGGAGGAAAGGAGGGACAGAAAAGGTGAGGAGGAGGGCTGCTGGTCTGGCTCACCTGGAGACTCCCGCGTGCGCTTGCGCTCCAGCAGGGAGGGGTCAGGACATGGCTCCAGAGGACACCAGCTCCCACGGTTTATCTGGAAAACACATCACAGCACATCAGGGAAAGGCCACTCTCACCCGTGTTAGTCTCTTCTTCAATATCCCTCTGCATCAACCAGCAGAGACAGAGTCATAGCTTAATTTTTTCCCAATAATAAAAATGTCAAAAGTAACATACGATTTTATTCTTTTCTACATCACTAAACAAACCATTAGAATATGCCAAAACCCTTTATTTCTCCATGGAAAGTTTGATTTGAAGGTGGCTCCTGCTCAAGGAAGGAGATCAGAGGGAGAATGAGTCAGTGTTTAAGCTACTAGTAAAGGACTGGATAACCTTGGCTTCAAGTCCCACCTCCACTTGTAGCAGGACTGCAGGAAAATACTCTTCTGCTTTATGCCTCAGTTCACTACTTACAAAACAGAAATTCCTCACCACCCATACTGCTGTACAGATAATTAGCTCAGAGATAGCAAAATGCTCTGGTGATGCGGAATAGAGGCCTTGGGAAGTGCCCAGGTCATGGTGAGAACCAGAAGCACTTTGGGCTTGCATTAACTGAAATGATGATGATAGAAACGCCCATTTTAACACTAAGACACATCACATGGTTTATTTCAACATCAGCCCTTATCACCTCACCCCGTCCTTCACCCTTTCCATGACTCCCAGTCTTTCAGCAAGGATGACTGATCTGTTCTCAGCCTCCTCCTCCCTCTGCCTGTGCTTTCATCTTTCTCACTCGGGTTATGTTGTCCAACATTTTGACTCAGAAGTCTGCTGCACTATCCACAATCCTTGGCTCATCCAATATTCACTTTCCATCACTTTCGTATGCAGCTGGCAGACTCAGGAAGTCCCTTTAGTCTCTCTGCCATTTCTTTGAGCCAAATGCCTTGACTTACTGTCAAATGCATGCAAATCTCACCTGTCCCACACCACAAAACCCAGAGTTACTTCCCCTCCTGACCTGTCTCAACTCACAGGATCTCACATGTTAAGTTGTAGCTAAAGGAAAGCTACTGAAATGGATGACAGCCTGATCTTTTTATGACAAGTATTTCTCCTACCCTCTCTCTGGGTTTCCTTTTATCTCCTGAAATAATTTCCTTTCCTCCCTTTCAAATAGCAAATTTTTACTATTTACTTTTAGCCTCTGACCTATGTTCAAATCTGCTCCATGATCCTACTCTATTTTTGCAGTCCCTTGCTGTATTCCCATCCCCTCAATGCTCTCCTTTCTCCTATGTTATGAAACGCACTGGTTTTGCTTTCTTATTATTTATTTTTTTAAATAAATTAAACCCAAGCCTCTCCTGCCCTTGACCTGACGTGCTGCTTTGACTAATGACCCACGTCCTTGTTTCCTCTCTCCCTGAGATCATGGAATGTGTTACTGCAGGCCTTGGCTGGCTCCTCCCTGCTCTGGCGGCGTCCCCTGCCCGTCACCCAAGGGGCTCCTGCCAGCACCTCCTGCTCTCCACACCACACAGGCAACCCTGCACTCCCCCACACCTGGCAGCTACTTGCTACAGCACATTTTTCTTCCTCAGGCTTTGTCCTCCTCCATACTTGTGCGATGACAAAATGGGGTTGGGAGGGCCTTTGACAGGTCAGCTAGTCCCGGCCTGCTGCACCAAGTGAGGCTCAATTATCATCTGAGAGGTTCTAATCCAGCGTGCCCTGAAAATCCTCCAGTGGAGAGGATGCCATGACCTTCTCCAGTCAGCAGCTCTTGCTGACACAGACAGGGAAGGAACAGAGAAGTTTTGAGAGGGGAAAAATGAGCAGGAGTTTCCCAGGAGAGGTGAAGATGTTGAGCTCTACCGGAGTCAGGTCTTGGGGTGACCTCAGTGCATGTCCCACTGGATGCCCCTCCCACCTCCAGGGAATTTTGCAGGCTATTTTCCTTAGGGATAATGTACGTTTTGTAGTTCTTACTCCCTGACTGCATTATACAGATATTCACCCAAGACCCCACCACACTTCTTTATGTACACACATCTAAAATCCCAGTGCTCCCTGCACCTCTGCTCCACACACACCTGTGTATCCATTTTCTCCCTTTTACACACAATACATCCATATTAAATGAGAGGCAGTGAGGAAAAGAGAAGCAGTCTTCAATCTGAAAAAGGATTTGCAAGCAAAACTTCAAAACAAAGGGGTTTTTGCTTTCCAAAGTAACACAAGGATGTTGCATTTTAACTGCTGCAGGAACAGCGGGTCATGTTCTGATTCTTTCAACAGAAGACACGCCCTGTTCTCAGAGAAGCTGTGTGGTATCTAACCTTAGCATCTAAACTTAACCACAAAATTTATTCTTTTTTTAGTCTAAAAAGAGCTGCAAAGTCAATAAATACCACTTTATGACTGCAAAGTCAATAAATACCATGCTATTATTCTTTTCTCTCTAGACAAAGCAGAATAAATTTGCACCACACATTCCTACATTTTATTAAAGCCAAATCTAGAGATTGAGGCTGAACACACAAAGAAGGACAAATGCAAATGTGCTCAAGTCCACACGAATGAAGGAATGACCTATTTCAATACAAAATCAAATTCTGTCTCCTTCTGACTGACTTACACCTCCCCCTTTCCTCCTTAAGAAGAATCTGACCCTTCTTCATTTTAAACAAATCACCATCAAATTCAAAGGAACTGCTCCTGATTTATACTGGTATCCACTACTGGAAATGAATAATTAAACATCCCATTCAGTAATTAGCAGTAAGAAAGCAAAATAGGAAGAGGTTCAAGCTGTCTGTTGAATAAGCCATATTAGGCTGAATTAACATTATATATTTTCCTTTAATAGAACCAATTGAGTCATTCACTGAAAATGCATTATAGACATTGGCATTTTTTCAAAAAAAGATTTGAGCATTTTTCCAATTTCCCAGCCAGCTCTCTCCTCAGCCCTGTGGCTTTGCCAAGTATTGAAAACGTCTGCTTTTCTCTATTAAAAAAACTAATGAGAGAGCGACACTGAGGTTTAAGGTGCTGCTTCAGATATACTTGATTATGTACAAAATAAAACATCAGAAATTAAATATTTATTTCAGTAGCCCTAATTCAGGAAAAATAATAATCACCATCAAAACAAAAACAAAGGAAACCACTACTATATACAAGTAATCCCTAGGCCAAAACGAGCCCAGATAGGCTTGGAGGAGGTTCACTGCATGCTCTCAGGGAACTGGGTGGTCCACAGATACTCAAAACACAAACCCCACTATCCACAGCCCTATACTGAGTACTGGGATCCCTCCTCAGCACCTGAATTCTGCCTGTATTTACTCAGGACTAGGGACTACAGGTACAGACAGTGAGAGCTGGAGAGAAAATTGTCTTTATAAAAGCACCTGAACATCAGGAGCTGGGGAATGCACCAGTATGGAGAAATCTGAAATGAGGTTGTCTTGGGATTTTGCAGACACGTCTGCATTGCATATGAGAAAATTCCTCCCTTTCCCCCCAGTTTCTTGCTTTGCTGAGAGAAGCCCAACAACAGGACCACAGGCTGGTGGCCACAGAAGATGATAAAAGCCCCACACCTTCTTGCTTGCCCACACTGATTACAGCTCATTGATTCCAGGCATCCCAAGTCTTTGCTGCGGGAACAGAGGGTGCAGCGCTGTTCCAGTGGCAGAGGGAATATGAAACAGCCTCTGGGAACAGAGTTTCAATACACAGCTTTTGAAGAAATGCCAGGAGAGAGCCAGCTATTTTTCCATACAGAAGCCTGAATGTGTTTATCTGCAGCTCAGACACAGAATGAATCATGGAAGCACATCCCCAGGCAACCAAGAACTGAATCCTGCAGGACTTTCTGTTTGCCTGTGAAACACCAGCAGGCTAAATGTTCAAAGATGCCTTTAGGACACCAGCTGGAGCTGCGAGCAACAGATGGCTTCATTGCTCTTTCTGGGCACACACAGGTATTTCCTGACTTGTGGGGACATCTTCCTGCAGACTCTGAATTTGAAACTTGATGTGACTTAATGCAAAAGAAAAGGACAGTGCTGGACAAGGTGTGAGACACGCCGGGCTGAGATGTCCTCTGTCCCACAGGAACTGTGAGTGACAACAGACTCCACACCCAGGCTCTTCCTTCCTCTCCCCTTGGTCTTGGACAAGGAATTACCTAATCTACTGCAGTGTTGTGCCTGCTCATAAAACCAGGCTCAGGACCTCCTTCTCAAAGACACTCCAACAATACCTAGGGCAGAGCCATGGACTGGAGGCTCTCTAGGAACAGACTTCTCAGGGGACAGGGACTACCTGGCTCCTATCTACCTCGCCTACATCTCCAGAACGGAAAAGTCCTTTTTCTCTCTCTCTGGTTTTATTTTAACTCTTCTTGCCTTCTATTTCACAATAAAGAGAACACACTGACCTTTCAGGAAATCTTTTGCTATTGCAAAAGTTTGCACTTGTCAACCTCACTGGTCGTGATATAAATCAACATCTCCAGAGCACAAGGAACCAGATGACTTTAACTTTCATTTCCTAGCAGATCCCTGGAGATTCATCTTCCCTCTATATTATTTTAACTTTGTCCTAAACGTGCAAGTTTCCATTTTTCTCCTTTTATTTTCCCCAACTTCCAGACTATGATCTACCTTGCAGCTAAAACCAGATACTACTGCACATAGGAAAATATTTAGGAGAGTAATTGTAGCTTGCTTGGTGTATCATTAAGTAATTGTGCACCACACTGAGTAATATCCATCTTAAATACCCATTGTAGAATAAAAGTAGTAGAAAAAGCAATACTATAAATTCAATTATAATTAATTTGTTTCATAAGCAGAAATGATGCAATGATTTTTTTTTTTAAGTTCTATGCATATTGCAATTATTTTCTAGGAATTTCCCATTCCTGAAAACTTCCTACAGGATTTAAAAAAAACACATAATTGGAATTCAGTGTTTATGTTGACCAACTTTTAACTTTACAATTCAATTTAAAGTGAAATTATCCAGTTGCCTGCAATTCCTGCACTAGAAACGAAAGCAACATTTGAT